AATACACAACATTAAAGACAAGAAGCAAATTAGTATAATGTCATTTAAAATAAAAGCAGACAAATAATATCACATAAAATCTAATCAAAGACAGCAGATTAAAAAATACAAGATCATTAAGTTTAGTTTAGTTTATTTCGTTAATTTAATTTCCGTCCAAAACATTTTTACAAAATAAAACACTTATACACATTCCATGAACACAAAAAGGAGCAGAAAGAAGAAAAATCTGAACGTTAACCTGCCCCTTTCATATACACATGACCATCCCTTTTTTTGATTTCACATGTTACATTATTAATCTTTTATATGTTAATCAAAGCAAAGCAAACAAACATGTTCCAGACTCCCCAGTAAATGTGTATTTTCTCTTCAGGCTACATGTGTGAGCTCCCAGGTCTGCCAGTGGAGCTGGGGGAGCTGCTGGGGGAGGTGAGGAGTCTGCGGGCTCAGCTGCAAACCAGCGTGCAGGAGAACAGCGCCCTCAAACAACTAGAGCTCCACAAGCAGCTGGAGCAGAAGCTGGGTGCCGGCTCCCCTCGGATGCCCTCCCTCTCTGCCCTCACCGCCAGCCCTCAGAGAGAAAACTTCTACAGACGTCAGCTGCTGCACGGTGAGATGGGAACTTGTAGATGTCCTAACTGGTCGTCAGGCTCAGCGTGCTGTGATGTGGTTTGAGTTATGTCCAAGCCTGGTTTGTGCATCTGTGTGCTCCACAGACCCAGCTCCATCTCCACCAGTCAGGGACATTGGTCTGTTTAACTGTGGATCGCCCGGTCCTCCCTACTCAGACATGGACGACAGCCATAGCACTGCTAATGGTGTGACTTACACTGTAACTGCATGACTACAACTTAATCTTTGATTAGTTGGTTTGTTACTTAGACTGGAAATAAAGATGGACGACACCTCTCCAGTTCCCTCTGTTGTGAAGCCAAAATATCCCAGATACTGTGCTTTTGAGTCTGTGCATTAGTGATCATGATTCATGTTCATCCACTAAGGTTGGAGGAGGCTGAGTTTATGACCTATACTGCACCCAGCCACCAGGGGGTGTTCAAGATGATTTGGCTTCACTTTTGTCATGTCTTCCATCTTTATACACAGTCTATGGTTTATTAAAAGACACTTTATCATGATTCTAATGTGCCTGTTGACACTTGAATCACTCCTTAACTCCAATATAAAACAATCCCATCATATCATTTAAAGTCCTTGTATCTCCAGCAGATACTCTGGACCCTCACTCTGAGCTCGAGGGGGAGGCCCCTGACGGTTCATTTGCAAACCGAAACGGCCGCCACGCCATCGGTCACGTGGATGACTTCAGTGCTCTGCAGCAGCAAGTCCTCGAGGGTCGGAGCCTCGTCCAGCGCATGGAGACGACCCTGCAGGCCTGCCTGGGCCCACCGCTGCTGGAGGGCAACGAGAAACAGAGCGGTGATGTGGTGAGAGCCGAAGAAAGATTTTCAACAAATCACCAAATAATGGCTGCAGACCACAAATATAACTGAGTTCCTCATGCAGGTTCTGGACTATGGATATGTGAAGAGTCTGCTGTCCAACACCAGGACGCTGAGGCAGATCCTGGAGGAGTCGATGTCTCTGCTGAAGATGTTCTGGAGAGCAGCTCTGCCCAGCACCGATCCCTCCGTCCAAAACCTCAAGAAGGTTTGTGATATTTCGATTCTCGTCTGATCTCTAATAGCTCTCACAATCAAACATGTTACGTAAGTTAAGTCCAACCATGGTAACAAAAGTTTTGCGTGTGTGTAGGAACAGTGTATGAAGGAGGAGATCTTGTCCCTGAAACTGCGGATGTCGGAGCAGGAGGAGGTTCTAAAGGGGACAGTTCAGAGACTGAGGAGCACCAGCCGCACCAAGGAAAACATGGAGCACTTCATAGTTAATCAGTGTAAGTGTTTCTTATAGAGAGAGAGAGAGAGAGAGGTGTAAAACAATAGACCTAATAAGGTAAAGGTAGACCGACAATGTTCTTTGTCTCTTTGTGGTAGTGGAGAGAGAGAAATCACGTGATTTATTGTCCACACATCTGTAATATACTGGCCTCTGTGGATTTACCTTAAAAGTATAAGTCTGCTTAATCCGTCCCAGGTCTAAATTCAAGAAAAAAACAAAAAGGAAAGTTGTTAATACTTGGGCGTATTATTATAAATGAGTTTGCTGGTTTGTTTATCATCACTTATTTGGTCTTGTAGTGTTGTAATTAAACTGTATTTGCTCTTGTTTTGCTGCAGTGTCGAGGACTCGAGATGTGCTGAAGAAAGCAAGGACAAATTTAGAGGTAAGTTTTATTCATATATACCTTCACTTATCATATTATACACGATTATATACATGGTTATTTGTGTACATATTCCATAGGTCACAGTATTTTTCTGTGTATCAGTATTGTATTGTGTGTCCCTGCTGTCCTATACGTATTCAAGTCTTTAGTATTCGTGAAGTAAATTCATCACTTTGAGCTTTTCTGTCTCACTTGTTCCTCCATACTGTATTTGTCTCCTCCTCTCATCTCCTCTCCTTACACCTGTTTTTTTTAAACCTCCAGAAGAATGAGCTGAGACTTTCCTCTCTAAGCTCCTCCTCTTCCTCTCCTTATGCTGGTAACTGTCTGACATCTCGTGGTCTTGCCGATAGGTAGACGTTGTCCCAGATACTCTATTTGAATAATTGCACTCAATCAGCATCAGTAGTGAGATTTCTCCTGCTTTAACTGTGAGAGCTGAAGTAAAGGTCTGGTGTCTGGGGCAGCTTTTACCTGAGTGTGGATTTGCTGTGTTGTCTAATAATGCTGGCGTCACCGCTTCACCATCCCGTCGAACAGACATCCTGGTTTAACTGTTCACTCCTATTATTTACTGACATTACTGCTTTAATTGTGAGACATGAATCATGGGAGGGTAGAATGCTACAATTCTGTGTCTGAGTAGAAAACAAGATGACAACACACACACACACACACACACACACACACACAGATGCATTGGTTGCCATGTTTTCTACCTGGAACTACGGTGGCCCTGAAGTGCAAATCAAGAAAAATTCGGACGGCAAAACACAATGACATTTACTCAAAACGGAAAAGGGTGATACCTGCTACCTGTTGACAAGGCTCGTCACTGATTGGACACAACAGATGTTTGGGGACGCCGGCCGACAGGGAAAACAACAGAGGAACGTGAAAACGGCATTTCCTTCCTGTTAAGAAGACAGCGAGTTCCATTCATTCAATCAGGGATGATCCCGGCAGCTACCGCCCTTTTCAGTTTATATTGTTGTGTTTTCTTACATACCATTGTGTTTTTTCTTTTGTTCCAATTTCTCGTGATTTGCACTTCATGGCCTCCATATGAGACACTGCCATGGTTGGTATGAGTCGTACATGTCTTGTCAAATGTCACAATACTGACACAAAACTCCAAACACATCTACTAAATCGTCACTGCACCATAGTGTCATGAGTATGTGTCCACTGAGTTATGGTTGAGTCGCAGTGAGTGCTAAAATAATCGGGTTTCCATGTGTGTCTGCCGTCACCATGTCACGTAAGGATGAACAAACAAACGTGTGAATGCTCAACTACTCACTCATTCTCAGCTCTTCATCTGCAAGCAGTTGCATTTTGGGAATTGATGGTATTCGGAGCTGATGAATCACAACCACCCACTCTTTTCTGCTGAGTTACTTGTCTTAAAGGAATAGTTTTGCATTTTGGGAAACAAGAATTTGCCATGTTGTAGAGTGTGAGGTGAGAAGATTGCCACCACTGTGTTTTCTCAACACTACACGTGATGGAGTAGCCAGGGTTAGGGTAGCATAGCTTCTCATAAACAAAGTAAACACAAAAAACATTTATAACCCAAAAAGTACCTCCATAGCTCAGTAATTTTTGCTTCTTTCACATTTCAAGTTTTTTATTATTATGAAGGTAAAACAAAAATAGAAAGGCTATTTTCTTCTAACAATACTTCCATATAACTTGTACTTCCACATTCTCTGATAATGTTGTGCAGTATTTACATCTTACATCTAGTGTCACATTCACAGTACAGACATTAACGGTGCACCAAATCCTCTCATCTAACTCTCTGCTCAAAGGTGAACTTCCCAATATGTAGAACTACTCCTGGAACATTTCACCTCACCAGCGGTTTGTGAGTTTTATCATGTTTGAGTGAAGTTGTATAATAATTATTTCTTGGTATCTTCTCCTTTTTGTCTCTGAACCCAGCTGAGGACCCAGGAGGTGCTGCCAGAGTGTGGCCTGCTAATCGCGGTTTCCTGAAGACCGGCGGCGCCGCAGGGGCCACAGCCGATCAGCGTCCAGCGACGAGAAAGCGCAGCAGCGAATGCCTGCTTTAGACTTTTTTTTAAGAACCAGCCTCAACGCTACCAGCTCTCTGACCTCTGTGCTCAAACAGCCAAGACCCCTCAAACCCCCCCCCTCCTCCCTGTTTCCTTCCTAACCTTTGCCATGAAAGTGCTTCCGTCCATCCCTCTCTCCCTCCTCTGGGCAACACGTGCACTGCGTTATCTGCACCTCGAGCCTTACCACACACCCCTCACTCTCTCACCTCCCCCCTCTCCCAACTACCACCATGTCTGATTGTCTATGAGTGATGCAGGCAGCAGTTTACCTCTTGTGTGTGTGACAGAAGAAGGTGTGTGAAATGTGCCTCTGATGGATTCAGTGACGTATATCCTACTGATGGAGCTGGTTGAAGATGCTCTTAAGACGTTGACCTCAGTCTAGATCTTTCCCATCTGGTTTCAGTACAGAAAGTTTACGTTAATCATCTTAATTTGGATTAGTGCCAAAAATAAACAACAGACAAAGAGTTTGAATTGGAGAATTTGAAAAAATGTAGAGAACTTTAAAATGTGATGTGTCTATAAGAGCATCCTCTCCTGACAGCCTGTGGACAGACAAGTTGTTCATGCATGTTTGAAATGGCCTGTGGGGGATATTCTGCACACATGTACACACATATCTAAATATGCGTGTATGATCGAACATAGCTCACTCAAAGACAAGACACCCTCAACCACCACTGCCACAGAAATGTTTACCCCCCATTGTGGCACTCCTATTAACAAGGAAATCTTTTCTTTTTTTTTGCAAATGCAATGCAAAGAACAATGACGCCCACAATGTATCACTAGACGACACAGTGGAGGAATGTAGAGGAGGCAGGCGATCACTGCTACGTAGTTCAAGTGTACTATATGTGTATTTGTGGAGGAAGCTCATAAATGATATGTCAGCCAAGGGTTGGGAATAGTAGAAGAAAAAGCCAGACGACGGTTCCATTTCAGTCACAAGACTCAGTTTTCAGCTCCTGACGGGGCTTTTCGGCACCAAAGTGCGGCTGTGAAAGTAATGAAGAAAATAGTTGAGTTGAATCGTTTAAATTCTTGAGGCCACTTTCTGTTTGGTTGGATGTGATTTCTACAAAGAGGTCAAAGTGCTCAAATGGAACCAGGCTAAACGCGTATTCAAGCTCCTCTGTAGGAGTTCTCATACGAGCATGTGCAATAATAACGTTGTTTGTTGAATGATCATGCTGCACCAGGTTGTTATTATTATTATTTCTTTGCCTGACACTGGATTATTAGTCACACTCATTATGATATTATGACACTATCAGTGTCATGACTGTACTTTTTTTCTGGAGTGTTGATGCATGAAAGAGATTGATAAATGGAAAAAAAATCTGAGCTATGGAACAGTGGATTGGCCATCCTTGCCGAAGTTTGAAATTGAAATGAACTCTAATTTCACTTTGACTTGCCGTATCCATGCGAATGACAAACTATCTAATCAAACTTTTTTTGAAGTGGATCTAGAGCCACAGAGACGGTAACCGTTAACATGGGTGGTTCGATTTATTTTCGAATTGTGCGACAATTTGGACCAAAACTCAACAGTGGATTTTTTTTCTGCTTGAGTCTTATTGGTCTTTCTTTTTAGTTCAGGCCGTCCTAACATTCCCATGGTAATGGCAACATAGGTTATCAAGTTCTTATAGATGACAAACTTTGGCAGGGTACTGGTGCGGTCGTTGTTCTGTAATTCAATCACTCCAATCACTTCAATTTCACATTTAGTTTGATGTGTTGTCTTGCTGTACATTTGCCATTTTATGCTGTAAATAACCAGCTTTTTCTGTATGAACTTTTTTGTGTGAGTGTGCTTGTGTGCATGTGTGTGTGCCTGAGTGTGTGTGTGAAAAAACATCCAACATTTGCTTTTTGCAAAGTTGATCATCTGGGTAGCTGTGCAATAGCTTTATGTATTTTATTTTGATGTTAAACATCATTGTATTACACGTTTGCTACATCCACCCCCTGCGGTGTATGACTCATATGCAGTGTGTGTTAGAGGATTGTGTCACTTTGACTCGATTAGTCACATAGATAGGAAATAATCAACAATGCCTTCATGACATGTCACAGTATTGTTCTCCGATTACAAAGCTCTGGTTAATGTTGCTTCGCTCGCCTTTAAATTTAGCCCCAGAGCTTCTTCCTGCTCTCCGTGGTAGAAATGGCCTTAAGTTAGTGCTTGTCTACCTGAAATCGGCCAAATTAGGTTTTATTTGCGCTCAAGTCATCTGAAAACGAGAAAAGTTGCCAAGTATTTCAATTATTTCATATTTCCTAACGAAATTAATGAAGTTAAAGTGAAATGTTTTAAAGATTTGTCTACTGAAAAAAAAAGAAAAGCCAATGACTGGAACGATTGTGAAATGCTGGATCCACAAAGCACCTTTTTAGAGCGTAAACAAAGCCTTATTGCTATTTAATAAGAAGGGAATCAAACAGCAGTTTGAAATGTATTGTTGGTCCTGAGTTGCGTATGTATATACAGCTTTTTGATTGGTGCAGGTTTTATGTGAGTGGAAAGCAGCTTTGTTTCAGATTTTGTGTATAATGAACTAGAAAGCCGATGCAGGACTTATATGGATCCTGTCTCTGATGACAGTTAACAGCGTGTTGTGTTGGCACGTATTAGCAATGAAAGATTTGGGGAAAGAATGAATAAAACACTTAAGATCTTGTGGTTTATTTTTGTTGTAGTGTTTGTTTTATATTTTCATCTCTATCTGCAAGAAGATAAATGTTTGTATGTATTTTAAGTAACTGAACACCTGGCTGTTGCACCTCTGGCCACACGCAGGACTGATGTCACACCCTGAGGTGCAGTATTACAGTTTTAAGTTTATGGCAATTCAAAGTGCTTTACATAACATAACAAAGGCATCATGACAAATTGTAAAAGCAACATAGCACAGAGAGAAATATATTTTGGCCCTAAACCATTCAGTTCCTGAAGTCAGTTTGACAGACAGGTGTGAGGATCTTAAGACTGGTGTGATATGATCCACTTTCTTTATGTTAGTGAGGACTCAAGCAGCAGCTTTTTGAATTAGCTGCAGCTTTCTGATGGTTTTGTTTGAGAGACCTGTCAACAAAAACAAATATGTTTTTCATCTTAATACAATTGCTACAAAGCCAAAGTTAGAATTAACAGCAGTTTACTTAACAATCTACTAGTGAATATGAGAATATAAGCTTCTTACACAGAAAGACAAACAGACAGGAGTTAGGACAAGTGTGTCCTGTCTTTATTTGCAAACAGGTAAAACTCAATACATTGGATGTTCACACTGGTTCCGACTTTCAAAACATTCATGAAACAGTTGTAAAATTCAAGTTTTGGTTTTAGCCTTATATCACCACTTCCATGGAATTTGTCCATATATTCCCTTATCACATCATATCTGTCTAAAAAAATAGTTGACAAAACCTCATGGCTCAACATTCACAAAATACTTTCAGCGTCTAGTTGACCACGAACAGGATTCTTGAAATAGTGTATCAACTGTGGGTATACACTGTACTGTAAGTGCAGACAATTAACAACACGACTGACAAGAGACAAAAATAATGTTTAAAGCCACCGTACTTCAAATACAGATGAGCTGAAAAAGTTATAAAGAACACACATGTGCGAGCAAGTTTTTACATCATTTAAACTCATGGTAACTATTCACCCTCATAGCCCTGTGAAATGATCTGAAAATGTGCATCAGGTCACATTTTGAGGTGTGTGTGTACCAGAGCGCTGTATTCATGTACATTGCAGACATTCAATACATGCAAAGCAGCAAGTTGAAAGTGTTTGGGTGTACACGCATCTGTGCAGGACGATGCGTGCAACAGATACATACGGTACATTTCTATTCAATAAGGAGAGTTTGGTACAGATGCACACACACATGTAAAGCACTGCAAGTTCATCACATCTAAAAAGAAAAAGCACAAATGGGTTGGTATAGTCCAGAGAAAATACAGTACAGGAGTCGTCTGCTGCATAGTTAAAAGCTTCTATCGACGCTCCTGCTCAGGGGATGGTAAAGTGGTAAAGATGTGCAGAGCTTGAATGCATGGCACATGGAACGTCATCACTGTTCAAGCAGTCTTCTGCAATACTTATATTGTGCATGTTGATATCGCAATGTCTGTAAATCTTTATATTGTGCAGCCTTAATTAAAATCAGATGCTTTTTCAGCAGTATTATTGCACTTCATATTCAAGCAAAACCAAATCTCCTGCTCCTGTCAGCAGCTCAAACTCCTATCTTTCACATTCCACATGCGCTTTCCAACAGAAACGCCACTTCAGTTTGTTAAAAACTCAAGTGAATCAGTTGAAGGAGGATGTGTGGACAAATCTAACTGTTGACACCACAGTAATGAGATCATGATCATCCACAGATCTTCAACCTGTCATGGTGGCATATGACATGGATGTGCACACACCAAAAACTTTTTGCACTTCAACATGCAAATAATCACGAGGTGCAAAAGCCCAGATGCACACAGTGACGTAGTCCGTCCCTCTGTCTGTAGATATTACAGGTAAAAGCCACAGTATGGTTTTCGTTTCTGTCAGACACCCTACACACACACTTTGCTATTTTTGTTCACAGCCCTGTGCAACCTTTTTAAAAACCTAGCCACAGCCACCGGCCTTGAGCTCCCCTGTAAACTTGTTTCCGTGCAGGATTTGGCTAAATGTGATGATATAAAAAGAAAAACAGCAGAATACAAACAGGCTGCTTTCTAAAAGCACTGTGGTGCACCCAAGTTAAGGTTTAAATAGGCTTGTAAAGCAGAGAGGTGACATATTTCTTCTTGTATCTGTGAGTCGCACTCAGCACCATCACTCCATCCTACACAGAGAGGAAAACAACAGGCAAGCTGCCATTAGTGGGAAGAACACCCACGCAGAAAATAAATGGAGACTAAGAAGAATGAGAGGTATTTCAGTTGTTTCCCCTGAACCTACCTTTATTGAGAGAGCATAAAGGTGATTTAGCATGACGTGGTTGGGCTCGGGCAGCAGGGCAGGGTCACACTGACAAGACAGAGAGGAAAGATACACATAAAATCAGGAAATGACAACAAATAGGGAAATGGGGAGATTTAGCAGTTGGACAGTTGTAGATACTGACAGATATATTGGTGTCTTTGTTGAGTATGACTTGAAGGAGGTGAGGAGGGAGAATCGGTGGGGCTTTGAAATGCTCCTCTGGTCTGAAGCTGTACTGCTCCTGTCCATATGGACCTGGAGGGGAGCTGGACAGATCTGTAAACACACAACAGAAATAATCAAACTAATATGATGAGGTTTTCATATTTCTTAGACTTTTCCAGCTCTGATCATTTTTACTGTTTATTGAAAAAAAGTTAATCAATATAGCCAATATAGTGATGATTCCTGGGTTTAAGCCCGTCTGTGCTGGACATAAGGAAACAACAAGAAGGGATAAGCAGGTTTCAGACTTGACAAAGCCGAGCAAAATCCCCTCTGGGAGTTTAATTCTATTTTAAGGACTGATATTATTTACACACTTGTTTCATCGTCACAAAGCCAAAGTCATACATAGCAGGGAGTAAATGTAGCAACATTTCCATATTTGCACAAAAAATGTTTGCCATTCAATCCCTCTTAATCATATTTAAACAGAAATAAGTATTCTGACTAGTTAGTTTAAAAAAAACAACAAACAGTCCCAAGAAAGAGGAGGAGCCTGGATCTGCAGTAATCTGGACCAGCAATGGTTATGAAGAGTTTTTACCCAGATCTGAAGGCTATTCAAATTAATGTTTCATACATTTCCAAACCATGCAGATCCATATGTGTGACCTATATTAGAACATAATAAAATGCTTGTTTTTACTTTTAAAGTTTTAATCAGCTAAATGAAAGTCAGTATAAAGAGTCTGGGTGCAGGCGGACCTGATGTGTCTGAGCACTCCAGAGAGTCAACCTGCAGGGCGTCAAACACCTCAAAGTCGGACTTCTTCACCTGGATCAGGTTGTTGATGGTGCCGAGTTGACTGGTCACTACTGGCTGCAAAGACAGAAATGTTCCCAGGTGTTAACATCAGAGGCTCCTTATCCTTTCATATTTATGACATCATAGATCTTTGCAACATTCAGAGTGTGGAACAGATCCCTTTGGCATCAAAATGATGCAAGAAAAAAGAAAAACTATACAATGATGTTTTACCTCCGAGGGATCATGGACCCATTGTCCATCTACGAAAAACTTGTACTGGTGCTCTCCTTCAGGCAAATCCAGGATCGCTACAAAATCATTATGGCTTTGGAGAGAAGCAAAGTATTAGTGCAACACTAGGCTTTGTTCTCAGTTAAAACAAGTGGAAGTGTGATATACTGACATCTACAGCAAAAACAATCCTGTTTACCTCTTATTTAGCGGTATCTTTGTGTTCCAGCTGTTGAAGGAACCAGCTATGTAGACCTCCTTCCCTCCCCCTGCCCATCGGATCACAGTGGGTCGAGCCTGAGGACCAGTCTTCACCAGGTCATCCAGATCTGGGGTGAATTCTTTCTCTCCTAACGCCTGAAAGGAGGAATAAATGCAAATATTAATGTTAAGATGTTTTCAAACCTAAATAATGGCTTTGAAACCTGAAATGTGTTTATGGAGAACAAACAAGGTTCTGCATAACAATGTGTATTTCTCTATTTTTCCAGCAGTACCTTGGACTCAGGCCCATGGGTGTTGAAGATGTTCGGGTCGTCTGTGCTGTCCACCATCTTGCTGCTGGGTTCCTGGTCTTTGTGGCTGCCACTGCTGTCGGAGCGATGAGATTTGGCTCCATGGCGATCTCCAGACACCCTGTCACTTGTATTGCCCATGATGCCTCACTATTTCAAATGCTGCTGAAAGAAAAGCTCATTTCAAACACTCATACAAGTCTCATATATATGCTTGATTTTTTTCCATTAAGATCCATTAATCATTCCCTGGGATATAAGCGAAAATGTCAAAATCAAAATAACCCATCATGCAATGTTAAAGAAAACTGACAAAAAAAAGTCCTGGATATGCCACCTGTTTCAGATTTGCACCAAAATCTGTTCATCAGTTCTTTCCTGGCAAATTTCACATCCTTCCACCAAGTTTCTCTGTAATCCGTCAAATTGTTTTTGCGTAATCTTGCTTACAAACCAACAAACAGAGGATAGCGAACATAATCTCCTTAGTGGAGGTTACTTGAAAGCAAATTAAAACAACGCAGGCTGTTAATGGAATCTGTAGTAAACAATATAATAGCTGGTGTTAAATGCATGTTTGAATGCTTGATAAGTTCAGTGAAGCTGTTCAAAGATCAGTTTTATCAAAGCAGAACATTGAGATACCAGCTGATTACCTCAAGTGTACAATCATGACAATAAATAACAAACTGGAGATGAAACTAAATTCAAAACAAGGACAGAGGACCAGTTTCCAGATATGTTAACAGTGAACACAATGTGCAGCAGTCAGGTTCAACCACAGGGCTAAAGGCTTCTCCAGGAAGGCTAAAAGATTTATCAACAGACGAGACAGATCAGACACTGTGACTGTCTGCAAGCTGTCAACCTGAACTTGGTCACACAACAACAACAACATCATCATAACAAACACACACAGAGCTGCACAACACAAGCAACCAGTTCGATCTTCAATCACAAACAGTCCGAAGAGCACACATGTAACCTACCACGGTGTCGCCCTTCTGTCTGTGGCCGCTGAAGATTACTGGGGAATATTTTTAGCTGCTGCTGTCAGTTAAGCTAGCAGCTAGCCGTCACTCTGCGGCAGCTAGCAAGCTAACTGTGCTAATTATTTACAACGTCGGTTTTAGTTTGAATGCAACGCGACGAAAAGTGGCCGCGTTCGTGGTGTCAGCACCGAGGAGTGAGGGTCAGACTCACCGACAGCAGCTGCTGTTCTCCGGCAGGTCGTTCTGGGCTCAGGGTCCAACACCTCCTCCTCTTCCTCTTCCTCACAACAACTGCTGCAGCCCCGCGGTGCCCCGGCTGTCTACAGAGAGCGGCGAGGACGAGGAGGACGAGGAGGAGCTCCACGTGGTTGATATCAGCAGAGAGAAGGAGAAACTTTTGGAAAGATTCCAGTGAGGAAACATGAAGGTCATTTACACACACTGTCGTGCAGCTGCTGTACAGATACACTGAGATTACAGTTCACTACTCAGGGGAATTAGAAACTAACAAGTCAGACTTTAAAGCCGCAGTGTTCTTGACTTTGGGAGAATTTAACTGGTGTCCTGCTGGATCTCTTTTACCCATTAACATCAACTCTATACAAATGTTAATGGAAATTGATCACAGTGTCTTTGAGTCAAATCCAGTTTGTTTTAATAGCAGTGGAGTGGATATTTGTCTACACTGATAAACCCTTGGTTACACGGGGTGGCCTGATTGGAGCTCACTTTCCTCCTGCAGGACTGTGTCTAATCAAAGTAGTTTCTCTTCTTTAAATCTGTTCAGTGAGATTAGACATGAGGACATGAACAAATGAGGAATGTTTCTGATTTAGGCCTTCTAACTCTACTACATTTACATGGATAACCCCTTTGTCAGACTCTTTTAAAAATGCATTATTATAAAATGGCTTTCAATTGAATGCTTTTTCCACTTTATCCTGCATTTAATTTTTTATTCTTAATGACACAGTATTTTCTGTTAGTCTGTCAGTGGAGCACTTTGTAAAGTGTTTTTGAAAAGTGCTGTAACGTTTCTTCTTCATCATCTTATTATTATTGTGTGGTACTATATTGACTTAAATCCGACGGACATTTGTTTTTAGCCCTAAATCTGATTTAGAGAAAAGTTGCAATTTATATTAATGTGATCAAAAACACCAACTTACAAATACAAAGCTGGCAGAATAATCTCAGTATTAGCTCTTCAGCTGAGTTCATTCTATATCAGCTTTCTCTATCATGTATTGCTGCCTATATTTTAATCAAGCCTGCAGTATACATTTGTTTTATCTACATGGTAGGATGCAGATTGATAAGTCTAACACCCCAAATGCTAGTATAACAAAGGAAACACAATAATAAGGTTTTAGATACGATTCTGATGACACACACACACACACAATAAACCATTACCATACCACTTGTGTTTTGTCTTTATTAACCAGTAGATGGCGCTGTGCAAACACCTCAGTCAGTCCACGATCTCAATAATCTTCAAACCAGACATTAATGAACCATTGTTCTACATTCAGCCTTCCATCAAAGTTTCCACATGTTCAGGACAATAAAACAATGAGAATCAAGTTTCTTAAAAACCTGGGAACTTATTATGTAACTTGAAAACATAAAGACAAAAAGCTTTGATTGTCATCAACCATGTTGAATAAAAACTTCCCATGGTGACAGAACAAGAAAGAAACTGTTAAATGTAACAGGGACCTATTATAGGTGTGCATTTGGTGTGAGGGTCTAGATGTGTTGAAATGAAAAATGATGCAAGACAAAAACACGCTCCACACAAGCTTTTCAGTCCAATAGCAAAATATCAGTTTTCTTCAAAATGCTGCCATGTCGCAGAACCATCATTACACCCCATAAATTAACATGACTGTAAAAAGATACTGTATAAATATATATGTACACAGATATACAGACATACAGTATTTGAATATATATATAAACTATAATAAAAAAAACATCTTCTGATGTGGAAAAGTTCACATCGAGTGTTTGCAAGTCACATTGAAATTATTAATGCGGGAAAAAAACATGGCCTGTGGATAAAGGGATTTTGACACAAGATGTATGCATCTTCTCACACACGCACACATACACACACGCAGTATTCCAGTGTAGTAATGATTCTTCAGGGAAAGACATTTTTTGCTGACAGCTGATTTGTTTTTGTTGTGTTTGTTTGGTGCTGTCACAGGGGTAGAACTTAGAAAAGTGTTAAAATACCTCTAAATATGTAAATTAGCATTGCAACATTTTTTACTAATGAGTTAAAAACCGACATTAATCCTGCTGTGTAGACTCGTGGGATTAGCTCCACCTTTCACCAGAGAAAATCTTTCCTTAAAACACTATGTCCCACTCAGTTACCATTTTGGTTGCTCTTAAAAGAATAACAGTAGGACGACTTTTCATGCATATTTCTTGTACAATACTTTCTTCTTCTCAAGTATTGTTTTGGACTGTGTATAAATTTGAGTGTGTCATATGTCACAGTAGGATAAGAGTTAAAGCATGCTCTCCACAAACAATTAATGCTTTAGCTACTGACAGACAACCCTGGGATTCATGCAGGTTTCCATCCGCTGGGCTCCTGTGCCAGCTGAGGAAGTCATGCTCTGTATGTTTCATGTCCATCTGTCTTCTTGGAGTTAATCCAGACATTTTTCAGGTCTGACAAATACAGTAAATGTTCCTCTTGTATTTACTTGCACTGTCATTTGGAGATCCCTAAGCCAGTCTTCATGTATTCGTAAACCACATAGCTAATGCTGACAGCAGGAATTACTTTCATGAAGTTTGGCATGATGCCCCGATAGAGTCCGAAAAAGCCTTCTTTGGCTACAATCCTCTTCATTAGGGAACTCATGGACGGCTGGTCTGATGCATCCAGAGACGCTGTAAGGAAATGTTCAGTCAGTGTAGTATCCAAAAGAGGACTTTTTATTTCTGTGCCCTGAATATGAGACGGCTGTACTGAGGAAGTTTTTAACTTTGGAAGGGGTTAAATAAATAGTTAAGAACATAAAACTATTATATATTAATGTCAGTAAACTATATACAGATTTATCTGGACAGATTCTTCACCTGTTGATGAGACAGATTAGAAAGTTTAGAATTACAATGTATCAGTTTTTATTTACACCACAGGGTAATCTCATGTCAGGATGTGAATGAAACTTACATCTAAACTCAACTACAAATGTAGCTTTACAAAATTAGACATTAATGGAATAATTAAAAAAGGTCAAACAATCCTGGTTGCACTGCCAAATGTTTTTGAAATGACTTCAGATTCCCTTAAATGGCTTTTAACTAGTCTAGAAACTGTTCATTGGTTTTTAGTAGCAACAATCGCTGCAGCAAATGTGAGACTCAGTTTACCTTGTGCCTGCATCCGTGTGCGTACGAGTGCGAGTGGATAGCTAGCCAGCTGGCCACAGGTGCTCGAGATGGTCCCGCAGCCCAGCAACACCAGAACTCCAGGGTTAGCCGAGTCTTTGGCGTGGCGCGACAACCAAGTGTTCTTTAGACTCTGGGGCACAATAAATAGTGGATAGTGTATATCAACATAACGCAAAAATCAATTTCTCTGATTGGCTTTAATGTAATCCTGCAATCTGTGATGAATGAGTTTATTGAGCATATAAATGAGTTAATCGAACAGAGTGCACTCAAGGGGCAGAAGGCATCACGAGGCCTGCATACCTCATAAACGGCGAGGTCTATCCCGGCGTAGGGAATGATGCCCAGTAAGTTTGGAATGTAGCCCTTGTAGAAAGCTTTGACACCCTCCTTCCTCAGGATCTTCTTGGCACAATCAAACACTCCTGAAAACTGGCCGGTCTTTCTCAGAGTCAGTCGAGTTTTCAGTACCTTAACAGCACCAACAGAAGAAAAGCAGAGGCCATCTGTGTCTGTGTGAATTCTTCTCATTTGTGAGGATTTTTCAAAGTTTTTTTGGGGGGGATGGGTTTTAGGAATCCCATGAATGAAGCAGTTTGCTGAAGCAATGATGCAATAGAACAGTCGTCTTACCTCCATTGGGTAGATGGCTGTCTGGGCCGTGGCCCCAGCCATAGAACCGGCCAGAAACCTCTTGTGTGTCTCAATCTTTTTGCCTTCTGATGATAACAATTTCTTATACTGAAAAGAAAACACAAGTCAAGAAAACCAATATAAGGCATGCCAATTATTTGTTATGCATGTGTGATAAATAATATCAGAGGAACTCTCTTACTTGCTCATAAGCCATAAATTTGATTGCTGTCTCAGGGGCAATCTTTAAAACATTGATTCCATTTCCCCTCCACAGTGAAGTCGGACCTCCCTCTTTTATCATCTGTTTGAATCCTCCTATCAGACTGATGGTGTTGCTCTTAGAGGAGTGAACCTGCAGTACAAAAATTAACAATTTAAAAACATTTGCATGCTGCCACTGATGGAGAGGATACGTTTGACCAGTTTTTCTGGTTTTTCTGTCTGGAGTAAGCAGAATGACACTAAAACTACAAGTCAGATTAGGAGTTGGCAGGAAGCAGAATGGGTTAGAAAATAAGTTTATTAAATTCTTCAGATCAGGGGTCAGATCTAGGATTTTGTCAACATTACGATTTGGGAATTTTTCAACATTTTTGTTGATTTTTCAGAGAATAATTCCTGGATCTTGATTGACTTTGAGGGAACTGATACTGATGAGAGTGTGCAATTCGGTGCTGATCCAAATTAAAATCCAGATCTATATTCAATTTGAATGAGGTTTCGCAAGGGGACGGTTGGGTGTTGGAGGGTGTATGCACTCTACTGAGTGTTTTCCAAGTTTTCAATATATTTTCACCTGCATGAAGACTTTCATCCTGTCCAAAGGGGCGGTACCGGTGCGGGAGATGGCCCCTGCCACAGCACCAGCAGAAAGCTGCTTCCACCAGTTTCCTGAGCTCTTTTCTTCTTCTGTGAATTCATCAGGGATGGTGAGACTGTCACCTATGTCTAGCACCTAGTAAACACAGAAGCATGTTGACTCACCACATTCATATACATTCCCTGGTAGAGGTATAAACACATGTACCCGGTGTGATAGACATTATTCGGCCTTCGAGAATGTATTTTTCAGGAATGTACACGTCACGTAGCAAATATTGGTGTGGTTGATGTGACTAAAACGTTACAAGCTTACTAAGCACTTCTCCTTTTGAGGTCTAGTTTCACAGTTATGCAGCAACTGTTCTTTCAAACATACCAAATTGTGTCCTGGAGAGAGGACGTTAACAAAACCATGAATCTGAGTTTCAAGGTGGAAGGTACAAACATCATGTGAACAACTCATTTTACAGTTGTTAAAAAAGTACTGCGACATTATGAGGAAACAGCTAAGAGGAACAGCTGTAGTTGTAACTCATTGTAACAAATGAATTGAGCTCCTTATTCTTTGACACTAAGCGCTTGTGAAATCATTATGACTGAGCCTCCGCAGCCCTCATCGTGCACACTTCAGCTGTTTCAGATAAACACACCCAATGTTTTTCTACAAGCATAAAGGCATGGTGGCATTTTAATACAATGCTACAGAGAAACTAAAGGCTTTTAGTTATCTGCCCCATGATGATACAAGAATGCAGCTTCTGTCTTGTTTTGTTAGCAAAGTTGCCATGAATGTGGAGTGCAGAAAACATTCCTGAACACTAACATGGTCTATCTAGAAAAGCGACAAAGTGACAAAACACAACTTTTTTCCACTACACGGTAGAGGAGCAGGCTGAGACACGCACAGTCTGACTATAGTGCTGTGACCCGCTTATCTAATAAATCCAATTATTCAAAGCTGCTGCCAAAATGTGAATGGCAGAGAAAATCTATATCTTACGGGGGGGCTCCACCACATGATTTATTCCACTGCAGCTCCCTGTGTGTTTGACTGCAGAGGATATTAGGTATTTGTGTGTGCAGATCCTGTACCGAGGAGTGTTTCCAGTAGCGTATTATCTCTTCCAGGTTGTGGCCAGGGTATAACAGGAAGTGCTCTCTCCACTCATTCCAGTCCACCATCATGGTGCCGTCAATATCCATACTATGAGGAAACACAGAGAAAACTCTTAACCTATGAACTGCTGACTTCTTATGTTGTAACATCCTGTGAAAAGAACAACTGTGACTCAGATAAAGCCTCCACATGACACACAAGCAACATGTTGGGGGGGGGGGTATTAGTGCAACTCAAACCTCTGTAAGACTTTCAGTGCATCCTCTCTGCTGATGTCCATGCCCAGCTCTGCAAGGCTCTGCTGGATCTCTGAGGCATCAATGCGCCCTGTGGCAACATAAACAACTGAATATGCGGACACGTGGCTTTGTAAACACGCTGACATATGTCATAACGTGTGTAGTAACAGAAAATACGTCACCCCCTGCTTGTGCTCACCATCGTTGTTTCTGTCCAAACTCTTGAACGTAAGCCTCAGCTTCTTCTCGTGCTCTTTCAGATATCTGGTGAACTCGCTGAAGTCCAGACTCCCGTCTTTGTTTTGGTCACCAGACGAGACTATTTTCTGCAAAGAGGAAATCAGATCGAATTAATCACGTGCATCACAAATCGCATTTACAAGACTTGTTTTTCAAATCGTGCAGGCCAAGATGTGAAACCCCAAAAACTTTCGACGGTCCGTGGATGTATTTTGTGTACCTGTGCAGCACCCTGGCGGAATATACCCATCGCCTTGAGGCCCGCTCGTAATTCAGCGACGTCCACCTTCCCATCTTTGTTGGTATCGAGTTTATCGAACAGGTCCTGGTATGACCTCTTACTGTCGGCATCCCAGCACCGGGCGTTCAGTAGTAAAGACGTCCGTAACATCTGATACATTGTGGGGTTTGGTGTGGAAGCAGCGTCAGGTCGAGTCAGACTGGGATCATTAATCCATGTTGAAGATCATGCATGAAACCTGCACTAATCCTGACCCGAGCTCGTCGATCGCGCTGTAAATCGTGCGTAAAGTGCAGGGACTCTGTTCATCAGACTGTCCCGTGCAGAGGTGTGTGGATCTGGTGCGATTCAGGAGGATCCGCAGTGATCGAGGGTGGAGCGAGGAGGGCGACGTAGCTGCTCGACGTTTTCACCGGAAAAGCAAGAAAGATGGGAAAATAAAAATAGCGGTGGAATCATTAACCCCGTGGATTAACTGAAAATATAATCCGGCGCGTGCCTCTGAATCATATGTCATCCTGCCACGGCTCTGTGTGATGTGTTGGTGTGTATGTAATGTAATCTCTTCATCTGGAGGGACGTGTCATTCACAACACACAGCATCGCGTTTCATACTGCTCAGTAACACGGGCGATCGCTAGAGGGCGGTGTTTCATCGCGCAAGAGCGATAGAGTAGGGACCCCTGCATGAGCCTGAGGGCCTCAGGCCTCATACCCCCTCAGCCTGAGGGGTCCCTGTATGAGGGGTCTCTGGATGAGAGGTCTATGTATGAGGGGTCTCTGGATGAGGGGTCCCTGTAAGAGGGGTCTCTGGATGAGGGGTCTCTGGATGAGGGGTCTCTGTATGAGGGGTCCCTGTATGAGGGGTCTCTGGATGAGGGGTCCCTGTATGAGGGGTCTCTGGATGAGAGGTCTCTGTTTGAGGGGTCTCTGGATGAGGGGTCCCTGTAAGAGGGATCTCTGGATGAGAGGTCTCTGTATCAGGGGTCTCTGAATGAGGGGTCTCTGGATGAGGGATCCCTGGATAAGGGGTCCCTGTATGAGGGGTCCCTGTATGAAGGGTCCCTGTATGAGGGGTCTCTGTATGAGGGGTCTCTGGGGCCTCAACACTCCAACAAACCTTCAAGAAAACTATATTGTGAAACTGTCTAACCGAGTCAGATTATCCAGGTCGGTGGCTGGTTTTCAGATGCTGGTGTTGTTGAGGAAATGTATTCAGGTGGTGAAGTCATAAAATTATTGACGCAAGTCCTCTACTTCAGTTACACCTTTTGAGATATTTCTACTTTAGTCAAAAGCCTTTTATTTTCTATAACCCAACTGAATTAATGGGACCTGATTTTTAGGCTATACCCTATCCATAGACAATAATAAAACGGTATAAATAATTATCGCACTATTATTATATATTTCATCAATAGCGACACAACAACAGTTCAATATATATTGATATAATGGTTTTGCATTGTGTAAACACAGTGAGGTATCACACATACTCAATCTAAAAGTAAAATGTTTGTGTGATGAAATTACCTCCACATCAAGTAACAATATCTGCTGCGAACATGTTAATACATAATAATAGCATAGCTATATAAAATAGCTATAAAATATAGCTATATTGAGCTCTTTTTGCTCATAATGTTGTACTTTTGAATAAACAGATTAATACAAGCATTTGACTTGAGTATCCAGAACAGTGTGGCAGTGCTGCTTTAAAAATGAATTGTAATACTCATATTATATATATAAGATTGACAATTATTGATGGGACACAACAAATAAACCAAGAATAAAAACTTCAAGATAAAAATATAAAAAGTATAAAAGGTTAAGGTGACTATAGATTTATATGAATACATGTGATGTGTGGTATTAAATATGGTCATACATATATAACATTTTGTTCTTTTGCATCCCATTTCTTCTTTTTGCCACATCTCTGATAAATGATGGCCTTTTGCTTTCTCTGTCCTCTATTTGCTCCACTTCAGTGTGGTCACAGGATTTAGGAATAATGTCTCTCCCTTGTATTGACTCTTCACTGTAGTTGTTGCTGGTGATAAAGTGGTGCTCTCCTGTAAGTAAGTGTAAGTGACGGTTCACAGTGAAACAGACTGACCTCAGTCATTGTTACGGTCGGGTCCTGGTAGTCTCTCGTGCAGCTGCAGCGTCCAATCAAACCACAGAGTGTCCTCCACGTCAGGAACTATATCTGTGAGTGGGTGTGGAGGAGGAGATTTGAACTTTGAATCGTGTCTGCAGATTCTGAGGCAACAGCAACACAGCTGAGAGCAGCACAGCTGAGGGCAGCAGACTCCCCTGTGTCCCCCTGTCTGTCCCCCTGTCTGTCCCTCTGTCTGCTCCTCCACTTCACACACAGACACCCGGCTCCAGCAAACACCATGTCCTTCATCCTCACCAAGAAGAAGAGGTTTAAATTCAAAGTGGACTTCGACTTGGAGGAGTTGTCCTCCGTCCCCTTCGTGAATGGAGTTTTATTCTGTAAAGTCCGGCTCTTGGATGGAGGCTTCGCTGAGCAGTCGACTCGGTAAGAATGTTTCGCTATTTATAGCAGGAGTTCACTGGTTGTTGCTTAAGTTAAGTGAAACTTGTTTTGAGTTCGTCTTCACCTTATTTAGGACACGTGTGTTTAACATTTCCTGTCTCTACTTTTCTTCAATTCCGACCACGAGCTCTTCTACAACCTCTCGACTAATGTTTAACTCTAATGTCCAGCTACACAACAGAAGCTAGCTACAAGCTAACCTGACTAACGTTAAACCAACACGAGCTACAGCTAACTTTTTGAGATTAACTAACCTGCGTCAGTGTGTAAGATACAAACAGGAAACGGGGATTTAAAGCGATGTTAAACGAGATAGTAACGCTGATAAGTTCAATGAAATAGTGGTTTATACTTTTCAGATCAAGTTGTCCTTTAACGCCTGGTAAACTTTGGGCAGTTGGTCAAGCTGTTGCCTAGCAACAAAGGGACAAATAAAACACATGTAATAATTAATATAATTTTATTATAGTGTTATTCATACCATGAATGATGATGATAATAATATGAATATTAACAATAATAATATCAACAATAATAATAATCATAATTTGAGGTTGTTAAATAGAACAGGGTTTTGTATGTTTTGTATGTATTTCTTGCTCCTAAATGTTTTGTTTAAACACACAGTTTAGCAATAGACCGTACAAGTTTAATCTCCAGGTTTCTCTATGATTAAAACGGCTCATGGTACTTTAATGAGTCACTGTGGAAAACAGGCACCGCTCATGTCAACCGCCAGTCCTCATTACTTCACTATGGCAACCGTCTCTTCCTAAAAACTGTAGTATAAACACTGTATTCTTAGTTTACAATGGCCCAACCACAGATGCTTTCTTTTTGTTGAAGTCAAACATAACATTCTTGTTTATGCTCCTAAAATATCCCCTAAAATGTTATTCTAAAGTCTTTGTAGTATATTTTCTTCATGCTGGTGGCAACAACTTTCTTTAAATGTCCCTTACTGCTGCTACCAATGATCAGCTTTGTCTATTGTGCATCCTGGATGTACAATGTCTTAGATCAGAAGATTAATATGTCACATACTGTGACGAATGTCATCATAGAAGTGGGTCCAAACTTCACACACGTATCAATAACACTATTCACTTCTCCTAATGTCAGAGATAGAACCAAAAATTGATAGGTGTAAGTCTTTAGGGAACTGTAAATCGTATGGATACAGCTGGAAAAATAAGACAATAGAAAATCAGCTGGAAAAACTGTGAACATGCTTGTATGAGTTGCTGAAACTGAAATAAAAAGTTCCAAAAAAAAAAAAAAAATCACTAGCATGCAAAACAGCCTTCACTCTTCTTGATGTTCTGGGACACCTCCTCTCTATGTGTGATGGGTAACCATGCAGGAATCTGGCAGATTTGTTCTTGTCCACGCTTTCACTTTCCAATATGCCCGTGTGTTTTTGGTTTGTGTATGAACTCGTGTTTCTCTGTGTGTTTCTCTCACAGGGAGCCAGTCCAAGCCAACTGTGTGCACTGGAGGAAGAAATTCTCTTTCATGTGTAAGATGAGTGCCAGTGCTGGGACAGGTGTACTGGACCCCTGTCTGTGCCGGGTATCTGTGCGCAAGGTATAGGAACTTTTTTATTAACACTTAAAAAATGCAATGTACCTTTTCTTCCATGGCAGAGCTGAGTCCAGTATGTACCAACACAATATTGTACATAAGATGACTGTATCACTGAAGCCACTGCTTTTAAAAATTGTACTGCAAAAAGTGTTTTAATGAAAATACAACCTCCCTTCTTTTTGTCGTTTTAGGAGTTAAAAGGTGGAAAAACATTTGCAAAGGTAACACTTCTCCTCTAAAGTGTTCATTTGTTGTACACACAGCAGATTAAACATTAGGGCCATTAGAACAATCTTATCATAGAATATATGTGTAGTCAGCCTTACAGTGCCCTCAGAGGACTTTTCTGTGAGTCTGTATTGAGTGAGTGTTCTAGTTTCCGGCTTTGGTTACTGATTGATTAATAAGTAAAACAAAACTCTGCCATGTTAACCTATAACTTCAATTATATTTGCTTTCTTAAATATTGAAAGTCTCGTCTCAGACACCTGCAGGGTGTTTCATAAGCACCTAAAAACTGCCCTAGTACCATTTAATATAGTTTAAATAGAGTAAAGGTATATAACAATTTAAGCTGACTTCTAAACAGTTCACTCTTGTTGATCTTGTGTGCAGCTGGGCTTTGCAGACTTGAACCTGTCAGAGTTTGCTGGGTCTGGCAGCACGACGCGACGGTGTCTCCTTGAGGGATATGACACAAAGAACACCAGACAGGACAACTCAATTCTCAAGGTATGTGCACAACTCCACAAACACACAACTCTTTTAAATTATGTGGGAAATGCCCTTAGGTGTTTCTACCATTCTTACATGATAAACATGCCACTCTATGCTTGTAAAACCATGTCTCAGTAAGGCAAAGTCACCTCGATGGAAAAGCTGAATATCCAGTTCATGCTAGACATGCCTGAGCCTGTGACATGTTACCTGCCTGGGCCGTGGGAACACACGATTAATATACAGCTTCTTCCTGGGGCACTAATAGTACACTTTTCTAAATCCTGAATAACAACAACCCTGTGACACCACACTACAGACATTGTGTCCCTTTATATCGCATTGGTGCAGTTGCTGTTAGACTAAAGCTGGCATTACTCTTCTCTTTCTGTTACAGGTCATCATTACCACACAACTTATGTCTGGAGACCCCTGTTTTAAAACGTAAGAGCTCTTCGTGACCACACTCATCCATTAATTTATCCATTTATCATCCATTTAATTTATTCAATCGGAAAATTTTAAGGAAGTCATGGCTTAATCAAATAAATATAGAGACCAAATATAAAATGGTATTAAAGGCATACTCTGCATTTACAAAAGTCTGCACCTCACCTCAGAGGAAATATTTTCATCACATCCTGTCTGTAACCAAAACCACAGCCTTGTGTCTGATACCCAGAGAGTTTGTAGATAAGTAGAAAGTTATGAAGGATTGTTTTGTAGCTGAGGTCTTATCAGTCTTATCTAGGAGCTAATAACACCTTGCACACACATTAATCTGCCCAACCTCAGCAGTGAACAGAAGCTGATATGTGATCAGCTCGGCCCAGAGGTTAGATTTTCATCAAAGTGTAGAGCTGTGTCCAGCAGTTTTTCACCAAGGACATGATGTATAAACAGACTCTTGGCAAATCCACCAGAACATGCAAACAGTTGGCTTTCTTCAACCCTACCAACACAGGTCTTCTCTTGTTCCAGTCACTTCCTGATGTAATTATACACACATTGCTGCCCGGGAGACGTCTGAAGTATAAGATTGTAAAGTCATTCAGCCCACGCAGCGTTACTCATTGTGTGTGGAGGATTTACAACATTGCACACAGAGGAAAGATGACGTTCAGATTTTTTTCACACCCTCACAGTGTTTAATGTAGAAACCAGAACTGATGGCTCTGTCAGCAGTTTAGTTATTACACATTGGAGTACTTTAACATGTAAAAGTACGTTTGATGATTTAATCAGTATAAACATTATTTTATTTCCAATTGTTGTTATTGTCTAGTATGCAGGACATTTCTAAAAGGCACTATGTGCAGATCTAAGCTTCTATAAACTTATTTAGATCATCTGTGGGTTTTTTTTACATAATAATTGACAATCCCAGAGTAGCAGGGTCTGTTGCTGTCTGCTACCATGTGTTTCTGGCCCACCACTCTGAAGTTGTTAATCCTACACGTTATCTTTCACTAAATGATATCAGATCCTTTCCAACAACATTTAAAAGCTCTAAGGTGCCACTTTGTTTCTAAGTTTCCAACTTCCTGTGTTGCCCACAGTCCTCCCTCTACAGCCATGACTCTGGGAATCCCACAAGCAGAAGCAGAGTGTCTTCTTGAGGACAGAAAGGGAGGCGATGTGCACATAGCCCTCTCACTCACTGGTATGCATGACTTTGTTCTGTTTTACAATAAATAAATCGTAATTTCTCAGTTCAGATTTTGTAGTTGACAGTTTTAAAAATAGTCTACAAAGAACTATGCCTCAAAAAAGGGACACGTTGAAAATCATCTCAATAAAAAGCTTTGGTATCAAAAGTAAGTGCAGATTTCATCACTGATCCACTTATACCTTTTGTTTTATAGAGATTCCTAAGAAATCAGTGTCAGTCCCAGAGGAGCTGGCAGTGTATGGTCACTCTAGAACATCCAGCTATGCAAGTCAACACTCCAAAATCTCAGGTACTAAACAGACACACATGTTTATTCCTCTCAAAAAAGGCTAATTTATTTTAATTCTAATTTAAATTACACACATCATAAACATATTCTTTTGTACCTGTAGGTTATAGCTCAAATCACTCCAGTTTAACAGATCTGAGCCATCGGAGGAGCGCATCAGGAGGTTCTGCCTCCACAGGCATTGGCAGCATCCTGGAACCCAGTGACCAGCAGGTAGAGAGAGTAGAGAGGGAGAACAGGTCCACTCCACCAGTCTCTACAACCTCTCACACTGCACCTGAAAACCCCTCCACCCCTGCCAGGGTGCTAAGGTAACATACTCATTCAAATTCAAATAAGAGTAACAACTGTGAGTCCCTCTCTCTCTTTTCTGACTAAAAGTTTTCATTTAAAAAATCCAGTCTGAGTGAAAAAGTTATAAATCAACACAGTTCAAAATTCACATGTGAGTTATTTGTCATGGACAAACTGTTGGTGTCACTGCATACTTTAACATGGCATGCTACAGGAGATCATTTAAAGTGCTAGTATTATGGGATGTATGTAATACTAAATAAATATAACCTTTATTTGTTATCCTTTGTTTGTTGACTGGCTTTACACTGCAGGTCTTAATGATGGCCAGATACGACATATTGTCTTATGTCTTTTCCTCTGGTGGTCATATGCCACCCTCTGTTTCTCCATTAGACACCCTGTAAAGCAGAACTCGATGGAGAATCAGTTGAAAAGAGTTGATGCCACCAGGGTGGACGCTGATGACATAATAGAGAAAATCCTGCAGAGCCAGGATTTCAGCCAGAGCTTCTTGGACTCCAGTGCAGAGGGTGTGTACACACTTAATCTGTAACTTAGTGGGCTTACTGACACTGGCCTGGAAAGTTTCCCACCATCCTGCTGATGGGATCAAAGTTCTCTTGGTCCGACAACAATACAATGTTTCTCTTTCTTAACATTTGGCTCTGGAGCAGCTGTTCCGATGTGGGTATTGGCTTCTGCGAAGCGAGAAAAGGTTTTTGATCAGAATCCGCGACATCAAGATCAACCAATGGGCTGGCATAATGTAACAAAAATCTGCTGTTGAGGGCAAGCAAGGGGCGTTTCCCCATAGTTACTGGAGTAATGCAAATAACCTTAAGCTCTTTCTTGACATGAAAAGTGATGATTAGATGTTATAGATGGGAAATGAAAAATTAGACATCTATTTGGTGCATACTTCTGCACTAAATGTAGTGCATTTCAATGTAAGACTACAGGGTTTATGCTGTTTATCAGTTATGAATAACACAGGGGCAGTTTAATGATTAGCTCAGCACACACCGCCATTTTACAAATTCCATTTTTGTGAAGCAACAGGAACTCTCTCCCTCGTCTTGCAGACTAATGTTGCACACATTTTTACATGTTTACATTTACTCTGTTTCAGTGTGGTTTGTTGTCAACTGGGCACCAGCGTAACCTAAGCAATTATCATTTATTTGTAGAAATACTACAAATCAAGTGTGAGCCAGGCATTTCCAGACCTGACAATGTAAATGAGTTGGCAGTTTCTTTATTTCTCATGTGTTTTTTTTGTGTTTTTATTACTGCAGAAGAGGGGCTCAGCTTGTTTGTTGGCCCTGGTGGGAGTACAGCCTTGGGAAGCCAGCACACAAGGTGGGTGTGATTACATAACTGTGAAATGTTGACGACATGCAGCAGGCATTTGCTACCAATACAGATTAATTACACACATGCTAAATTTGGCTTCTAACAAAGAGTTCTTGCCATAAACACACACCTGGTCATCATGTTGTTTCTCTCTAACATGTAAAATGTCATGTTTTCAGTTTCTACTTAGTTTTGCACATAAAAATACCTCTCAAAGAGATAGGATAACTGCCACCATTTCCTGTCTTGTAACACATTGTGACCCTTTCAGGGTTGCCACTGGAGCCTTTGAGCAGGTGGTGTTCAAGCGCTAGGCGTTGGGGAGCATGTGCCTCTCAGAAAGGGTGCCGTATTACACCGATGCGGAGGACACAAGCCTGAGGAGAGGAGATGCCATAAGACCCTGTTCAGGCCTCACTCCAGGAGATTTAATTTTCTCTTATGCAATCCCTCCACTTCTGACCTACATCTTCTGTTGACCAGGAGAGCCCTCCAGTGTCCAAGAAGTGGAGTTAAACAGCACAGCTTATGAACAATTATGGTGACTGCAATGACTCCGTGTACTGACATATTCTGATGGTTCTGTTCTGCGCTATGAAAATGTGAGGCATAGGATTAATAGTGCTGTAATCCATCTGTTCACTCCTCTTTGTCCGTTATTTAAAAAAGATATATTAAAGTGTCATGTTTTTATTTTGTTATAATTTTAATTTTATTTCTATTTTACTGTGTTATTTTTAGTATTTTATTTGTAAAAAGAGTTATTGCAACTGACAAAAGGTTTCTCCTAAATCAGACTGGATATGCTGTCTAAGAGATACTGTCACACATTTGAGTGTTGTCCTAATTTTTACTGTAATGTTTTTCAATCTGCCAAATTTACTTAACTGTACATTTGCTGTCACTTAAGAAGTCCTATCTGTAGTATATAAGTGATGGTCCATGTAATGATGTAAAGCCCATGATGGGTTAAGATATCTATATGTTGTTTTCAAGGAGTTAAATGTTAATGGGGTGTTGAAAGCCAGATCTGTAATAAAAAAAAAAGTGCACTCTGGATACAGATAACTCTCAGACACCTTTGTCCTGCATCTCACAAGACCTTCTGCAAGAGTCCGAAAGACAGTTTTAACATAAAAAATATGATTTAATTGAAGTGAAAAAGATATCTAATAAGGTTAATAAACTGATGTTATATTTCTTATTCTAGACAATCAGACACACTGGAACCAACGTAAAGTTTGACCAAACTATCTCTGGTTTAGACAAAAAAATAAGTTTAAATTTTTACTGAATTTCTAAATAGTAATATAAACATTTTTTTATAAATATGCAATTACTACATGTTATATACAAAAGCACCCACCCTTGTGGGTAAATGCTTTTATTTTCCAAACCAAACGTATTGGCGGATCATCGTCAGCGGCACTTCCGTTCACACTGCAGCACCGACGGTACAGTTCCGGTTCTACCTCGGAGCGGGATTCGAGCTACAACGACGGCGGGAAGTTGGTTTCATCAATTTACCTTGAAATCCACAACAACTGGACGAACGAAATCGCTAACGATCGACTATTCGTCATCTAACATCGATGGCTCTTTAAACGGAAACACGCCAACTGCAGAGCAAGCGTAGCGGCGTGGGGTCCAGCTAACATGGCTAACATCGGAAACCAGCCGCCAACACAGGCCGTTAACAAGCCTGCGCCAGGAAAACATGGAAATGTACTGCCCCTGTGGGGCAACGAAAAGACCATGAACCTCAACCCAATGATTCTCACCAATGTGCTGTCCTCGCCATATTTCAAAGTTCAGCTTTATGAACTAAAGACGTATCACGAAGTTGTGGACGAAATCTATTTCAAGGTAACGTTAGCGTCGGCTAACCCGCATGCTAGTTAGATAACCAGTGTCCAGAGGGGAAAGCGGTACAGTGGCCGCAGTGTGCTGCAGGCGTCAAATTTAAAAGACTAGTCCGCGCTCATTTCATCTAATTTAACTTTTTAGCTTCATAAGAATTCAAGATATTTCATGTAATCGAACAAAAAGACTATTACTTATTTATTGTAGGTGACTCGTGAGCTAGCTAGCTTGCTATTGTTAGCTGCCATAAAAACACAATAGTCCTACGTTATCATGACGTCTGGCCCTCTCGGGTATTGTCTATGTGTACGTGTGTTTTGGAGTTTAGAAGTTGAACTAGATACGCTGTGTTTGTACGTTTATAGATGGTGAATCACTGAAAGACGTAGGATTTGTGTTGTTAGTCATCGGGAAGGATCTCTCAGGTCTCATACACAGTTCATTCACGCACCAGTTTAACATGGCTGTCTCTGTGCCTGCAGGTGACTCACGCAGAGCCTTGGGAAAAGGGAAGCAGAAAGACTGCAGGCCAGACTGGAATGTGCGGAGGGGTAAGTGAGAAGTACGTGCTTTTTATTCCCCACCTTTACCCCCTCGATATTCTCCTCAGCAGTTGAAACCCCAGAGTGTTCCTTTGGAACCTGCTTGATGTGATTTAGTAAAGCAGATTCACCTGATTCACTGTTTCTTGCATTGTTTAGGGTTGTTGTGAGAAATTTGTAACAAATGATGCTTGATACAATGATACAATCTGTGTTCCTCGCTAGGTGCGTGGAGTTGGAACTGGTGGTATCGTGTCTACTGCTTTCTGTCTTCTATACAAACTGTTTACTCTCAAGCTGACACGCAAACAGCTGATGGGTCTGATCACTCACACAGACTCGCCCTACATCAGAGCACTTGGTTTCATGTACATAAGGTATGTATTGGTGAGAAACGTATTTAGAATTGCATTTGTTCTGCATAGTAATAAATACTTTGCACAAGTTAAAAAACGTGTTTAAAGTCAAGAATGAAATTGCAAAATTATCAATTGAGTGAGTTGATATACAGTGGTGTTTGTATGTCCAAGACTTCTTTCCCATTCACTTTAAAGGACCAGTGTGTAAGATTTAGATGAAAGGGAACTATTGGCAGAAATTTAATGTAGAATAATCCTCATGATGTTTTCACCAGTTCATTTCATCTAAATTGTATGAATTGTAGTTTTCTTTACCCCAGAAAAAGCCCTTTATATTCAAATACCTTATAATTACATCGAGGGGACCCTCTCTACAGAGGCCGCCATGTTTTTTTTACATTAGTCCATATTGGAAAAACTCAACACCTTTTGAGTTTTTATGACAATTAAAGGCTACCACCGTTTCTTTTTCATATTTGGATGGAGAGGGTGAGGGGTGTTCAGCTGCAACATGCAATATCAAAAGTAGATATCACAAAATTCTACACACTGTACCTTTAATGGAAAAGTGGTCTCAGGCTTTTTTTTACCCTTTACAACGTCACGATTAAAATCCGCGAACAAATGTAATTGAAATCTATGTGACACGAATATGTGATGATTTGTGCCCTGCTTTTTTCTGCATCAGGTACACTCAGCCCCCGGCAGATCTGGTCGACTGGTACGATGGCTTCCTGGATGATGAGGAGGTATGTCACTCCGGGTAATAATTTAATGTTTCTTTCTCTATTGCATACACAGTCATAAGCCCACAATAAAATCTGCCTGCCCTCCCCCCCTGTGATGCTCATAACTGATTTTTCACCTTTGCCTTCATTTGGCTTAATTGTCTCAGTCTTTGTCCTCCAAACCGGAGTAGCTAGGTTACTTGCTCACTGCTCTGCTGCTGTTTTTTACCAGGGTAAGTACCGTATGTAAAGCTGAGTCAATCTTTTAGTCCAGTGTGATATCAAGGCATGCTCTGTTTTTGATAAGATTTTATCAGGACTTGTTGCACACAGCCAAATTTGGGAGAATTGGAAAAATTCCTATGGATAAACAAACACGTAAATTTGTTAACAGAACTCAAACTTTGCATTACTCTGTAGTGGTTTATTAGTATTTAATTAAGATAAAATTGGATCCCAGTCTGTGCAACCAGGCCTCCTGTGATGTTCTGTTGCATTATAATTGAATTGATCATATGGAATCTTACCCACCTGGTTAATTCCCCTGTTTTTTTCTTTAGATGCCTATTGTGCGGCAGGTGAATTGGATATTGTATCTCAGCACTGTTGGTTTGCGTGTGTGAGTGCAAAGCAGCTGTTCTCTACCATATAAAGTTGACAACTATTCAACTGGTGTGCACTTACCTACCTGCGCCAGTCTGTGTTTACACTGTGGGCCCTTTTATTCTCTTTAAAGGGATAGTTCATCCAAAAATAAAAACTCACCTAATATCTACTCATGCCGGTGGAGGGGTGGGTGAAGTGTTTGAGTCCACAAAACACTTTTGGAGTTTCAGGAGTAAACAGCCAAATCCAATACAATTGAAGTAAACGGTGGCCACCTCTTCAACGTAAAAAAAGATATAATGCCTCCATACTGCTCCTGTGGGCTCATGTATTTAGCCTAAATTAGCTTGTTTTCAGTCAAATTTGAATGTCTGGACTTCTGGACACTTCGGAGACACCACAGGAGTTTTTTTTACATTTGAAGAAGTGATTACTAGTTACCTCAATTGTATTGGATTTGGCTGCAACGCTGTTTATCCCTGAAACTCAAAAAGTGTTTAAAGGAGTAAAACACTTCATCCACCCCTCCATCGGCATAGTGGTGAGTAGATATTGAGTGAATTTTCTTTTTGGGGTAAACCATCCCTTTAAGAGTTATTGTGTTGACGGATGAAAGAAGCCATGGCTTCTCTGTCTTTGTCACGTCAGCTCAATTAGGATTTGTCTCCATTTTTTGCTCTCTATTCTCTTCATTTATGGTCTGTAAAAAGTAGTTGCAGCCACTTTTTGAAAATGTTTTTTAAATGGATCATCTGAAGGAAAGAAGCAAAGATATTTCAAAAGATAAATATAAAGGTTACTTGATTATCAAAGCTCACTTTGTAAATGCAGACTCCAGGATCTGCCAGCTGAAACATTTTGCTATATTTAAATGTTATTCCCTCTTGTAAGAATTAGCAGAAGTAAAACCAGACACATTTGTTTGATATGCAAGATTAAGCTAGATGAACAGAGGTGAAGGTTCAGTACTTGGTCATCACAAATTGCTTTTTGATTTGAGGTAAAATGGAAAAAGCAATCAGATTTACCTGCCTCCTGCTTGTGAGATCTAATTGAATTTCTCTATGGCGCTTTGCCACCATTTTGTTGTAGGAGCTCGACGTGAAGGCAGGAGGTGGCTGTGTAATGACCATCGGAGAGATGCTGCGTTCCTTCCTGACCAAACTTGAGTGGTTCTCCACTCTTTTTCCCCGTATCCCAGTGCCTGTGCAGAAAATTATTGACCAGCAGATAAAGGCGAGACCTCGTAAGGTCGCGCCGAAGGAGACACAGGAGGAAGAGGCCACGTTCACAGGAGAGTCAGGGAGGCAAGTGGAAAAACGGCACTCCAGGTAATTCTAACTATTTATTTCAATCTTACCTGTCCCCATGTGTGTATTTCCTGTAACTGATTAAAGTGAAAAGGTTCAGTTCATCTTTATTCCTCCTTTTGTCACATTAATTAGATGTAAAATAAATTAAATTCCTTCAAAATGAAACATCTACTGCTACTTGGTTGTATATATTGTCATGTTTGATCCAGGGAAACTCATCCTCGCTTAGATGATGTGGCGTGTGAGCTGTTAATCATTGAGTTTTTGTTAGGTTTCTTTCTTAGTCAAGGAATTGTTCAAAATCAATTAATCTGTCTTATGTAATAATTAGACAAGAATCTTTAAATGCTTGAAGCTTATGACACCTTTTTTCCTAGGACACCCAGGCGATCGCCGAGTCCCAGAAGGTCGCCCAAACGGTCGCCCAAACGGTCACCCAAACGGTCAAGGAGCAGGAGCCACCATCGTGAGAGGGAGCGCCATGGCCCCAGTTTCGACCGAGAACTGGAGAGAGAGCGTGACCGGCAAAAGAAGGAGAGGGACGGCAGGGATGGCAGGGACAGGGATAGGGACAGAGAAAGACGACGGTCCCGCAGCGCAGACAGGAACCAAGAACGACGAGAACGCAGAAGAAGTCGCAGTGGCAGTAGGGACCGAAGAAGCGAACGCAGAGAGAAAGAAAGAGATGGTGGCGATGACAGGATCAAGAGGAAGGAAAGGGATCACCATAAAGAAAGGGTCACAGAGAGGGAGAGGTCCAGGGATAAGAAGAGCAGGGGAGAGACGGATGACAGGAGGCACAAAGACGACAGGGAGAGGCACAGAGAAGAAAGGAAAGCCAAAAGGTCGAGTCAAAGTCGAAGCAGGGAAAGGAAGCACAAAAGTGGCGAGGAGAAGAACCGGAAACGAGAGCGCAGCCACAGCAGAGAGAGAGACAGGGACAGAGATGGGGAACAGCGCTCCCACAAACGTAGTGGTAGCAAAGAGAGGAGTCATCATCAGCGTGAGTCCAATAATGACCATTGTAAACATAGTGAACGCAGAAGGAGTCAGAGCACTGAGTAAATGTCGCCCCGCAGCAATATTACTTCTTCTATTCCCTGTGATTTTCTCCCTTTTTTCTACCCAGTTGTATGATCTGTCTCTTGTGCCGAAGACTGGGAATGTTAGCACGCTGGACATCTGGTTATGTTATCTTTGGCCAATGCAATGTTGCTTTACTTTTTGTGTTTTTCTGCCTTTTTCAATCCCAATTAGACCATCGTTAGTCTTCACTTGAAATTTGGAAAGAGGCAAAAATGGCATTTTAATTTTCTATGGTTCTTTCTTTTGCCCCAGGATGTCATGGGTTTGTATATAATGTTTTGAAAGCTGTCGACACACGATAAGTGGTCAGAGTGCGCATTCACCGCTGGGTTGGGCGCGGTCCATGCCTAAAGCTCAGCTCAACACTGTCGCCATATAATTGATAATAATTAACTGTTCAGGCTGTGCGAAGGCCTTTTTTTATATTTCACTAATACAGAGAATGTTACTGGAATTATCCTCATCCATAAACCCATTTGTTTGCTGTATTCTGATTAAACATTCTCTGAACAGTCCAATGTCAACGGTTAAAGTTCATATCATGTGTCGTGGCAATGAGTCTCAACAGCGATTAGACAGTGAATGCTAACTCCATCATTGATCGTGTGTTGACAGCCTGAAAATATTTTAATCCTCCAAAGGGCAGTATGCAAAGGGTAATGTTTTTTACCACACACAGTTGAGCCCTGCTTGTGCTGTGAATGGATTGTTGCTCTGTTGCATTTTGTTTTCTATTAAACACTTTTACGAACAACATTTGCATTTCTTCTCTTTTTTTAAGAAGGGGAATTTAAAAGGTGTCTGTTAATAGTGGCATTTATATTGTGAAGAAAATCATTATTTAACAAGAATAAATGTATTTTTTGTAGAATAAAGTAAAAACAAAGTTCCTAAAATACTCAGACTACTCTCAAAATTGTTTTCTGTCACTAATACTCGTATTGTGATAATTGATATTGTGTTATTGTCCATTCCTATGTTCATAGGACATTAGAAACATAAGATGGGTAAAATACAAACGCTGAATGCAAGTGGTATTTTTGGTAGTTTTATTTGAATATAATGTGAAAATAATTTCCAAGTTAAATATACATTCACAAATGAAATACTCTGGACATGTGCAACACTTCCTGATATATTACGTTTAAAGATGACTAATATATAATTTACAAAAGAGAATCAAATATAAAAAGCAGGAGGAACAGACCCCCAACAAAAAAATATATAACCTCAACCAAGAGCAGACAAAACATGTGCAACTACAATGGGCACATGTACAGAATCGAGGAGCTTCATATCTTGAGGCCACTGGCCTTTATTTGGAAGACATCTAATTATTATACCACATATGGGTGTAGTTAAATACATGAAGACTCTGTGTAATAGGCAATGGCTACAGTATTACAGTCCCAGTTACCATCAGAAATGTAAACATCAAAGTAACCCACACTAAAGCCCATGTTCTATTAGCTTTAAAGTTATTGTGAATTGTGGTTAAATACCAAAAAGCTTTAAAGACCATCACATTAAAGTGGGAGTTGTGCACAGACCTCTAGTCTACAGTTATTGCGTCCCTGTTCACTGGGAAAGCTCTGATCCTGTTTGCACACACACAGGCTCTGACTCTGGTCCACTAGTGACCGAGCTGCTGGCCGACACCGTGAAACAGTAGTTGGAGTTTGGGCTCAATTCAGTGACTAGGATCATGCCCCCATAGACTATTAGTTCCTCAGGTGGACTGGAACTGTCCTGCTTCCTTCTCACCAGGCTGTACTGGGATGTATCGTCCACTGTCTCCCACTCAACTAAGACAACTGTTGGAGCTATTTGTGTGACGTGTAGAACGGGAGCTGAAAGGTCTCCTGTAGGGAAACAAGACAGAAGAATGAATCTGGTCTTGACAGGTTTATGGCCTTAAGTTCTATTGATGTGGTATAAACAGTGATTGCATTTAGGTGAATATATTTAGAAAACTTCTTTTTCATTAAAGGTAAATCTTGCAGGAGGAGAGAAGGTCTGGGACACAATTCACATAGAGGGGTCAATTAAACATCCAACATCCCTGTAAAACTTCAGATGCACATTTAAGTCATTCCTTGTTTACTGTTAGCTTGTCTGTGAATATCTTTAGAAAAGGGTTCCTTGTTTAAGCACACAAAGCTTAGATAATAAAACATCTTAACAAATTGTCATATTTATTGTTAGAGTTGTTTGTATTTTTTTTTTAAAGACTACTGACGGACAGAGGCAGTCAGATTTGACTCCCTCTGTATCCGCCCTTGAGCTCCAATATCTGTGCCAAACACATCAAGTAAGTACGTTTGTGCATCAGTCACAAGAGCTTCTCAAAAATACAAACTCACCATCCTGCACTTCAAGAAGATGTCTCCTCCTTCGTACATGTGGAATCACTAAAGACAAAAAGCTGACGTCAGTTTGTCAGAATAAACACAGTATATTGTGTCTTTTTCAACATACACAACAGTTCCTACCATTTGTAATAAGTTCAGCTTCACTTTCTCCTGCTGCGTTGCTGGCGGTGATCACCAGGCTGCTGGATGTGATGTTGGAAAGAGAGCAGGACTGACCAACCACCCTGCACAGCTGAGTCCATGGCGTAGAACTGTTGTCGTACAGAGTGTATGCAGTGGCATACACTGAGGCGTTCCATGAAATGGAGGCAAAGGTGCTGTTGCCACTGTACACCACTGCTGATGGTGGACAAGGAGCTGGGAGAAGAGACAGTAGAAAGTCAAAGCACCTGAAAACTTGGTTGAGTCAGTCTTTGACCTAGAACCCTCAATATTCAAGGCTAAATGAGAAATAACAGGCCTGGCAGTCTGTCATAGTGTAACTAAACATTTTAGATAATTTAAGTACGAAAGTATATAACATAGGCATACTCGTTTTTAGACGCAAGTGTTGTTACATATTATGTCTTTAATATTAGTTACACCTGTATATAACAGGTGAAATGGCTGCTATGAGAAATGTCTATTGTGAGCTGTCTTTGCTCCGTAGACTAGAATTTTCTAAGAAGAGATCCTTTGTTGTAATGCAGGCGTTTGCCCTCACTCCACTGTGATTATCTGGGTGTAACAGTTCAATCAGCGTGCTCGAGAGTTCGGTGTAGTCTACCTGTTGTTCCACTGAGAGCCACAGACGCGTTGCTGGTACCAGCACTGTTCCTGCTCTGCACTGTGGCCTCATAGGATGAACCACAGGGGAGAGGAATCTCAAAGTACGTGCTGTTTGTCCAATAGGAGCTGAGCTCGAACAGGGCCTGGCTGTCTCCCAGCAAACTTCCCGTTAGCGCCAACATGTACTCAGGGTCTCTGCAGGAAATCTGTGTCCAACTGACACGAATCACCTGAACCTCCATCTGCATCGGCAGCAGCTGCACCTCTACGATGTCTGGAGGGCAGGGAGCTACAGGAGAGAGGGTAGGATTTAATGAGTGACTCCACTTAATATGCACTAATATTAATCTGTGAGAAGGAACATGCAGCTCTTACTTGCTCCCCTATGCACCGGGTCACTAAAGGAGCTGTTGCATGTGCCATCTGAGGCCTGGACAGAGAAATTGTAGACAGTTCCACATTCAAGACCCTCGATAGTGCAATTTCCATCTGTGCTATAACAGTACAGCATCTCTCCATTCGCGGATTGAGCACAGCCATAGTACTCTACAGCGTTGTCTCTGGGCGCCCATGACAGCACTGCAGACTGATTGTTACAGTTGAAGGTAACTGAGACTCCATCTGGCTGGCAAGGACCTGGATAGAAGAACAATGGAAATCTTAATGGGCTGAAAGTGGTATTATTCACTCATAATGGGGCCCTTGAATTTATTTTTATACATTCATATTCTTTATATAAAACAAGTACCTCTATTCACTGTTGTATTTTGACTGGCTCTGCTGGAACAGTTCTCGTGGTGGGCAGTCACAAATACTGTGTACTGCTCGTCACAGTGGAGATCTGATACGCTGCAGTTATTGGAGGTGGTGTTGCACGTATGCACGTGTCCATCTGCAGCCATAGCAACAACACTGTAGGTTTCAGCAACAGGAGAGCGAGTCCAGGACACCAGCGCTCTGTGTTCCTCACAGGAGGAGTCAACCGTCACGTTCCTGGGTGGACAGGGCTCTGAGAAGAAATAAATCAGTGTTCAGAGGCGAAAACAGGCTTTTCTCATGAAACCACAATAATTTGTAGTTATTTACACCAGTGGTTCCTAAACTGGAGATTGACTGTAACAATGGAGTTAGAACAAACTAGTCATTTTTGTCGGATGTTCCATAGTTTTGATTCCTCTACTCAAATAATTAATCATATAAAACAATCTGATCATAAATAATTACTTCTGGATTTTAGGTAAAACATGTAACTTAGAAAAACAAATACCACTATTGAAAAACAGATTGGACAACTGTTGCGTAAGGGTGGGTAGGGGCAGAGGCCCCAGGTGTACAAGCCCCCCCCCCAAAAAAAGAACGGAATGATGTGTTTCTCCACAGTAACAACAATTTCATGAGAAGCCCCTGAAATTCTGTGATCAGTAGAGTTCAGGAAACAACGACACAATGGTTGGAAACCCTCTTTTTTAATTTTAGGTTGGGTTGACAAGTAGACACACACACTAAGAGTCCCTTGATGACAGAAAACAGAAAACAAAATGTACCCGTGCTAATTCTGTAGGGAGGACTTCTCATGCTGCTGCACTGGTCTGATGAAGCCGCAACGATGATGGTGTAACGGAGGTCACACTGCGCTCCATGCAGGTAGCAGCTAGTGCCAGTGTCATTGCAGTATAGGCGGCTGTGATCGCTGGCCTCTGCTGTGGCGGTGTACACTGTGTCCCCCGCGCCGCCCTCCATCAGTGTCCACATGACAAGGATGGAGGAATTGTGGCACTGAGAGACGGCCGTGATGGCAGAGAGGGAGCAGGCGGCTGGAGGAAGAGGAGGAACATTTCATTAACTGTGCCACTGTTGCATGAATTCCTATTTTTACAAAGACTGAAGTCTGTTACCTGTCTGCAAGTCGATGGTGTCGCCTGGTGGACTCTCACACTGGCTGTTTTTAGCTGTAACTCTGAAATTATAAAGAACACCACATTCCAGGTCTTCCACCTCACATGTGGTGTTACTGGAAGTGCTGCAATTGGCCGTGTGGTTCCCTCCACCCACAGCTGACACAGTGTAGTAGTCGGCCCCAGCAGCTGCGTCCCATGAGATCCAAGCAGAGTTGGTGACACAGTCGAGGTTGCCCCTGATTCCCTGAGGAGGGCAGGGAGCTAGAGAGCACATAGAAATGTTAAATCAGTGATTGAATGGACTTTTTTTTAATCAGAGGATTGATGAATTTTTTAACACCCTCATACCGGACAGGATGGTGTGGTTCTGGCTGTGCCGACTGCTGCAGTCGCCTCTGACAGAGGTGACATGAATGGTGAAGGTTTTCCCGCAGGTCACATTGCTGAGGGAGCACGCTGTGTTTGTGGTGTTACATGACTCATTGATTCCTCCGTTGTCTGTGACTACTGACACCAGAAAGTGGTCAGCCTCCCTGGTGGCGTCCCAGGAAATCATCATGTCGTTGGAAGAACAGTTGAAGTGGGCACTCACATTCTGGGGTGGGCAGGGGGCTGGAAATAAAAAGATAAACAGATTCGTCAGCACAAAAAAAAAAAACTAACTGTGAATGACTGTGTTGGTTGTAGCTGTTGTTTATATCACCTGAGTTTAACACTACAGCCTGGCTTGGGACACTAGAGCAGCTGTCATCCATGGCTGCTACCTGGACAGTGTAGCTGCTGCCACATGTGAGGTTGCCAAGGCTGCAGCTGAGGTCAGAGGTCTGGCAGCTGACATTGCTATGACTACTATGTGCTCTCACTGAGTACTGAAGAGCCCCGCGACTGGCAGCCCAGGACACAAGAGCAGTGTTGTTGGCACATTCCATCACCACGGAGATATTAGTGGGGACACATGGAACTGCAGATAAAGGATGGACAACAAAAAGAGATAGTTTGTACACACTGTAGACAACATGAAAAATACTGTTGAATTCAGTTCAGCAATAATTAATGTATTTATGGCTATTTCAATCATTTTACCACTAAGAAAAACTTATGCTGACATATAGTACATAGTATTTACTACACGTTACATGTTAGGAAGGTATTGTGGTGTAATTTAAGACATAAAAAAATCATTACTTTTTCAATATTTCATGCTCACCTGACTGCAGACTGGTAGTTTCACTAGAGGTGGTGTTGCACTGTGGGTTGGAAGCGGTGACCGACACAGAGAAGTTGTGTCCACAGGTCAAGCCTGGGAAGCTTTTCTGATTAGAGTTGGAGGTGGATGTTTCTAAGAGGCCAGAGTCAGTTTCCATGGTGACTGTGTAGAAGTCAGACCCATTACCTGCCTGCCATGTTACCATGATGTTACCAGAGAGACAGTTCTGCGTGGTAGAGATTCCTGAAGGGGGACATGGCCCTGGAGAAAAGACAAATAATAATCAGTCCAAGCTTACCTACTATTATTTCTTGATATGTTAAAGTCGACTAAACCTACATGTCTGTATGGAAGCCGGTGCACTGGAGTTGCCAGGACATTGCGAGTTGTGAGGTGTGACTGTAAGGCTGTAGTTTTGTCCACACATTAAGTCAGAGAAGTTAGCTGTGGTGACATTAGTGGTGAGCCCAGTCGTATTGTGTCCTCCCTCAGCAGATACCATGTACAACTTTGTCCCATTACTTGCATCCCAGCTCAGAGAGACAACTTTCATGTTGCAGTCCGCAGAGGCAACCAAATTCTTAGGCACACAGGGATCTGAAAGAAAGAAAGATGATGGATGTGTTATTACAGAGACCTTCAACCATATGTAGCTGATTTCAATGATGCTGTACAATTGTTATGTCCGCTGGGGAGGTTATATTTTCACCCCTGTCCAAGGAAGAACCCATTCAATTTGCATTTTTGTGCCGATCCGGATATGGGGGCATAAACAGAAACCTTTTCACTTTTTTAACCTTGCGTTTTCAATGTTTCTATTTATTTCTCAGTTTAGAGTGAACACAATTTGGTGTAGATGGAGATACACATCTGGAAATAATGGTTTCATTAGGGGACTGTTGGGCCTTGTGCCATTGTAGTTATTTATTTGGAAACAGGAAGTTTACTAGTTTGGTACAAGTTGCAAGGAAAATAGAGTGTCCCTGAAATAAAAACTTGATTTGAAGCAAAGATTCATTCATTACAGGATAATTATTGGAAACTTCATCTATATGTATGATTGCTTGTAGACAAATGCAAAAAATTAACCACACTCTTTATTTTCCCCATAATAAGTACCAAAGGAAATTATTCTTTCCAGGAGAAATTATTGAAAAGAAACTTCAAACACATTACCATTTATTTATAGCACTCTTCTTTGCATGACATACCCATATGGATGACTGAGCTGTTACTGGGCACACTGGTGCAGTTGTCATCCTTGGCTCTCACAACAACAGTGTACTCCTCCCCACAGTGCAGGTCGTTCCACGTGCACAAGGTGGTGTTGGTGACACACTGATGATTGTGGCCATCAAGGCCAGTCGCCACGGCAACATATGATTCGGCACCATCGCTGGGTCCCCAGCTGACAGAGCCCATGTTAGACTCACACTGCACGTAAGTCATCAAGTCCTGGGGGACACATGGAGCTGTGGAGAGAGGAGGGGTTTAAACATACACACACATGCAATGGTAAATATTTGTGAGGTGTAAGATACAAAACCGTACAAGTCTTGAAGAAGGCAGGGCTGCTACGGACGGTGTCACACTCTCTGCCTTGTCCTTGCACAGTGACATTGTAGTCCTGTCCACAAGGCAGAGTGGCTGACAGAAGGGTCTGGGTTGTGTTGTAGGCATCCACGTATCCGAGGCTCCCCATGGCTGTGACTAAGTAGTTCATGACACCACTTGCTTGGTGCCATGAGATCTGGACCTGGTCACTCTGACAGAGCACCTGAGCTGATGTGATGACAGGCTGGCAAGGCTCTGAGAGGAGCAAAAGGAGGGGAAATATTCAGATCCTCCAATAAAAGTAGAAACATGAACTGAATGAATTAGTTCGGAGATTGTCAGGAGGATTACACAAAAACTACAGCTATAGGTTTTCCACAAAACCTGGTGAGAGGATGAGTATGGGTCAGGGAAGAGCTCATACAATTTTGGTGCAGATCCAGATCAGGGTTCATTTTTTGGCATTTAAATGGAGGTTCATAAGGGGACCGTGGGGCCTCGGTGGAGGAATGCACTTTACTTGTTTGTTTGTTTGTCAGCAAGATTATGCAAAAACTGATTTTGCTTGTTGTTGCTTCTCAAAGCCTGAGAATATGAGAATATTGTCACAGCATTTATTTTGGTTTGAGATGCTGATGCTAGTGCGACATCTAGTGGCAGTGAAGTAGAAGTATCTAAAAACGGAAATGAAGCGTATTCTCTGACTGAGTATATTTAGTTAGTTTACACTGCTAAATAATAGACCACAAAGTACCTGTTTGAATGGACACAGTACCACTGGCCTGGCTGCAGCAGCCTTGACTGTGAGCTGTGACAGAAAAGTTGTACGTCTCTCCACAGGCCAGACTGTTGAAGTGACAGGTCGAGCCTGTAGAGTTACATTTCTTCACTTCTCCCCCTGATGCCTTGATGGCAGTTGCTGTGTACAGATCAACATCCGAATCCTCCTCCCAGGACAGGACTGTGGAGCCGGAGCCACACTGCAGGTTAACATCCACACGCTGCGGTGGACAAGGACCTGAGGAGAAGTGTGGTAGGTCAAAACAAATGAAAGCCAGACCAACCCTAGCCATTTATGAGACATAACTGCGACCAATCTACTCACGTGTGGTGAGGTTAGCAGGCATCGCTGTTGTGAGGCTGCACTGTTCGTTGCTGACGGTGAGGCTGAGGTTGTAGGTTTCCCCACAAGTTAAATTTGTAACGTTACATGAGTTCTGCTGAGTCGTGCACAGAGTCTGGAGGCGTCCACTGACTGGGGCTGTCAGGGAAAAGTTTGCTGCCCCATAAGTTGTATTCCACGACACAACGGCAGCACCGTCAGAGTTACAGTTGACCTGTACTTCTACAGCTCCAGGCAGGCACGGAGCTGAGGATACAGCAGGAGTACGTTTATGAAAGGACATAAAAAGAATCCACAATGTACATAAATTGACAGAGGTATTGATTGAGTCACTACCTGATGTGAGAGTCACAACTGTGCTGTCAGAGCTGTTGTACTGTTGTCCCAGAGCCTTGACCCAGACGTTGTACACTGTGCCACAGGTCAGCCCTGAGGCGGTACACTGGGTGCCCGTGGTGAAACAGGAAGTGTAGTGGCCATTTTGATTGTCGAGGTAGGCGATGTAACCCACAGCTAGGTCACTCTGCTCCCAGGACACAGTCGAGGTGAGCTGTTCACACACTACATTTGCCTGAACATTGCTGGGTGGACATGGTTCTGAGTGAAGAGACAACATACACATTTAAACACAAAGGTGAAATATACAGGGTCACAATTATGCATCATGAGAGGTGTCAGCCATTTTGAGTTTCTCACTAATCACGTGACCCACCTGTCATGAAGCGTTCAGGTGCAGAGGTCACGGTGTTGTTGCAGTCCTGGTTGTGTGACAACACAGTGACGTTATAGATCTGACCGCACTGCAGGCCGTTCAGGGAGCAGCTGTTGTTGGTGGAGTTGCAGATGATCATTGAGCCCTGGTCAGTCACAGCCTCAACAGAGTAGGAGCTGGCACCGCTGGATGCAGCCCACGTCACCTGGGCCCTGCTCAAATTGTAGTGGACGGAGAGATGAGTGGGAACACAGGGCTCTGGGGAGAAGTAATAAAAAAGAGGTAGTTACAAATTAATTGTGAACAATAATTCAACTAATATGGAGAACAGTATATATTTGGATGTCTACTGGTTGATTTCCCTCAAACACAATGGCAGGCATGCTACAAACACACACAGGTGACCATGCTCTACCTGTGGTGAGGTGTCCGGCCATTTGAGCAGTGCTGTTGCAGCCCTCCCCCAGAGCCGTCACGCTGACGTTGTATTCCTCTCCGCACTGCAGCGGGCTCAGCTGACAGTTGGTGTGATTGGTGGTGCAGCGGCTGGTGTGGCCCGATGACGCTGTGAGCTCAACAGTGTAGGACAGAGCTCCGACGCTGGGTTGCCATGACACGGTAGCAGAGGAGACCTGGCAGTCCATAATGGCTTCGATGCTACTCGGCTTGCAAGGCCCTGTAGGACCAGGAAGAGTGTTAAGAGTTAAGATTTACGACCAAATCATATCTAATAAGATTTCTCAGAGAGGATCTCAGCTCAATGGTCCACTTATAAAACATAAAAAGCTTTCAACTGCATCTCACAGTCCTCACTTACCAATTCTAATTTCAAGAACCTTTGGGCATAGATTCCTTGAAACATATTTTTCTCCTATACAAAAAATGAACACCCATAAACACTGCATAGTCCTCACTGAACTGAAACACAACTGAATTCCTCCTGAATATGACCCTGAAGCAATGCCGCTAATCTTCTTCTTTTTAACCGATCTCCAGAAGGGCATTACTCTGGAACTTGCTGGGTCTGATTCTGGCAATTTAAGCTGTGACTATCTTCTCACAGGAGATCGTACCTGCTCATATAAGTTACAAAGGGCAAGATCAGGGATTTGGGGTGTGGTTGGGAATGAAAGCAGCACCATTATCCTTATTCCATGTCAGTGTGATTTGATAAGCTGCTATTTAAGTTAAAAAGGTTGCAAAGTGTAACTTCAAATATAAATGTACCTGATTTAGAAGACACCACTGTGCTGTCAGAGCTGTTGTACTGTTGTCCCAGGGCCTTGACCCTGACGTTGTACTCTGTGCCACATGCCAGTCCTGAGACATTACAGTGGGTGTCTATGGCCACACAGGAAGTGTATTGGCCATTTTGATTGTCAAGGTAGGCGATGTAACCCACAGCGAGGTTGCTCCGGTCCCAGGAGACTGTGGCAGTGAGCTGTTCACACGGGACACTGACCTGAACGTTGGAGGGTGGGCAGGGTTCTGAGTAAAGGGAAAACACGTTAAATATGGTGATAAGGTTGTTGTATATAACTGTAGACACAATCCCTTCCAGAGCAGGTAACGAACCTGTAATGAGGTGATGGATCACAGAGGTCAAACTTTTGCAGGCCTGGTTGTGTGCAGTTGCAGTGACGTTATAGATCTGACCACACTGCAGGCCGTTCAGGGAGCAGCCATTGTTGGTGGTGTTACAAGTGATCATCGAGCCCTGGTCAGTCACAGCCTCAACAGAGTAGGAGCTGGCACCACTTGCTGCGGCCCACATCACCTGAGCAGTGCTCACATTGTAGTGGATAGAGAGATTTGTGGGAGCACACGGTTCTGAAAAGAGGAAGAATAATGCAGTTGCCATTTTCGTTAAGATAAATATTAACCTCCACAGTTTTGGGTTGTACCCACCTGTAGTGAGCATTGCCGGGGGACTGGCAGGTCCTGGACAACCAGTGTGCATTGCCTCCACAACAACAGAGTACTGCTGTCCACAGACCAGGTTGTCCAGATCACAGGACGTCCCCATATCACTACAGGAGGAGAAATGTCCATTGGTGGAGTTTGCCTCGATGCTATAGGCAGTAGCTGCAGCTGCACTACTCCAGCTGACCAGAGCTTTGTGTGTGGTACAGTTCAGTTCAGCTGACACATTGGTGGGAGGACATGGGGCTAGAAAAAGAGAGTAAGGCAGCTGAGACGAGGAGACCAATGCAATTGTAAATAAAAATACCCTAAAATTAAAGAAGCAGTTGCAGAAGTGGGAAAATTCAAATTAGCTTTCTTGCCAAGAATCATTTTAGAAGATGACCATGCTCATGTTTGTACATTATATAAGAAGCAACAGCCAGCAGCTTGTTCACTTAGCTTAGCATAAAGCGTGGAAACCAAAGACATCTGACAAAATAATAAATATAGTTGGATATTAAAAAAAACCCCACCTTAAACCACATGATTTTCTTATACGTGTTTTAGTAGATATTTCCCTCTGTCTTAATCTAAATGAGCAAGTCACTAATGGTATCTTCAAATTTAGCATTCAGACATGAGAGTGGCATCGATCTCACTGTAACAAATAAATGCTTCCCCCCCAAAAAAAAGTCAAAGAAAAGTTTAAGATGTGGTAAACTCATGTACCAGTGTTCTTCTCTATTGGGGTGCTTATTTCACTCATGCACACGTTTGTGTGTCCCATCACAGTGAAAGTGTAGGGTTGACCACAGCTCAGGTCCAAGAAGGAGCAGCTGCTCTCGGTGGAGTCACAGGTCGAGTTAATGCCTGAAGCAGATGAGGCTGTAACAGTGTGATTCTGGTGTCTACCGCTCTGGTCCCATTTTACTGTCATGACGTTGCTGCTACAGTTCTGGTCAACAGTGGTGTTCTCTGGTTTACAGGGAGCTGGTTGAAAGAAGATTCTATTAGAACCATAACATTTTATTCTTCGACATGATTTAGTTCTCAATTCTGAACACGAAAGAGCTGCACACACCGGACTGAACCTTGTAGTCTGAGCCAGCGATGATGCTGCAGTGAATGGAGGAAGAGGTGACGACCACATCGTACACTTTGCCACACTGCAGGTTATGGATGGAGCAGGAGTTGGAGGTTGAGTTACAGGACATGTTGTGTCCGTCCATGCTGATGGCCAAGGCGGTGTAGTCGTCTGAGCCCATAGTCTGCGCCCAACTCACATTCATCACATTAGTGTTGCAGTTTATGTCTGCTACCACATCGCCTGGGAGACAGGGAGCTGTAGGAGCAAGTTTGATCACACATCAGCACATATGCTGCATCATAAATAAGTAAATACAACAGTTGTTGAAAATAAACTAAAACTACTCTTTTCAGCTACTCTATCAATCCCTGCTGTATTGGAAAGAGGACATCCAGGGCTTTCAAGCGATATGTAAATGGTATAGGATCTTCTCCCTCTCCCTTTCCATCAAACATGGCTGACATAGGTGGAAACACTTTTTATGGACGGATGAGAAGAAAGTCCAATATTACCTATCTGTTGTTTTTATGATAATCGTATATATCTTTTGTTGATTTAAAATGACAGAAATTATATAATGAGTTCTGAAAGAAGTTAAATAATTTGTGTAGCCACTTTATGAATGTCAATGATACCAAGACATAAGCAGAGAGGATTCTTTATCAGATGGTTGTGGGAGGTTCAGATTTGGATAAGGATGAGTTTGAATCTATGTTTAGGTGAATTCAGAGTTTCCACATCTGCCAGTTCGCTGGTGTCCGTTAGGGTCCTCGTGATGAAAATGTCATCAAACACATGTCCGCTAGGGTACGTACTGACCCCTATGCAGACGTTCGTGTGCAATGCTGATTGACTGCGCATGCTTCAGGTGCAACCATTCCACCTACTGGAATGGAATGGAATGCGGGATCCGGTAAGTGTGGAATGGCAGACCCTCATTTAGGTATGAATGGTGCCATGGGCATGCACTGTACGTGTGACCAGAATAAGAACACAGAAAGTGCAAAGTATGGTCAACCCATTAGAAGAAGAATATTGGGTAGGAAAGACATCGTCCAATTGTGGAATAAACTCTGCACACTAGACATAATATTTGCCTATTTGCGCACATATCTCACCCGATTCAAAATGAATGTCGGCGTGTTTGGTGCTGTTGCAGCTTTCTGTGGAAGCCACCAGTGTTGCAGAGTACGAGCGGCCACAGTGGAGTTTTACAGCACAGGAGGTGTCGTTGGAGGAGCAGGACGCCACGTGGCCATGTTCTCCTGTCACCTCAACAGTGTAGAAACCAGCTCCGATGCTCTCAACCCACGAGAAATTCCCATTGTTTGTGCCACAGTCCACACGAGCAGAGAAGTTGGTGGGCTGGCAAGGGGCTGAAAGAGGCGGGACAAGTAACACTTAATTATGCTGATTTTAGATAATTATATTTTTTGCCATTCTAAAGCAATTGCCATAGAAACACATTTCACCTGTGCTTATCTCAATGGGTGGATTGTCGCTGCTGCGGCAGTTTCCATCCTGTGCTGCGATGCGGAAAGCATATCTCTGTCCACACAGCAGGTTGGTGAAAGTGTGTGAGGTGTTGGAGGTGGTGTGCGCTGTAGGAGGGAGTGTACCCCCTATCCTCTCAGTTTGTAAAGTGTATGTGGCCCCAGACTCTGGACTCGGGTCCCACATGAGGGTCACTGTGTTGGTGTCACAGTCGACCTGGCCCGTCAGGTTAGTAGACGGACACAGAGCTGGGACAAAACAAAAGCAAGTTGAAAACAATTCATCGCCATATCAGATAACTCAAACTCAAACAGTTCATCCCGTCACCTGTTCTCAGCGTCACTGCTGAGCTCGGCTCGCTCCGGCAGCCCCTGTCCAAGGTTACCACAGCAACAGAATAAGTTTCCCCACAGTGGAGGTCAGTGAAGTTGCATGAGAGGGACATGTTTGAGCTACAAGTGTGAGTGTGTCCATCATCTGCAGTTGCTGTTGCTATGTACATCTCTGCACCTGCTACTAGAGACCAAGACACGGTGCCGTCCTCACAAGCTGGAGAAGCTGTGACGTTGCTGGGAGCACAAAGACCTGGAGAAAATGAATAAGAAAGGTTTACTATTGTTATTTTTCTTTCTGAGCAGTAATGTAACAGTTAAACTTTGGTTATCATGTTTTACTGCACCTGCACTGAAGCTTAGAGTTGCACTGTGGTCTCCTGTGCATGTCTCAGAGAACGGTGTGACTTTGATGAAGTAGGTTTCACCACAGTGGATGTCAGGTATTTGACACATGGTCGTGTTGGAGTGACAGTGGTGAGTGTGTCCGTCCTGGGCTGTTGCTGTCACGTTGTATCCAACAGCACTGGGGCTTCCTAACCACGTCACCAGGGCTGAGTGATTGAAACACCCAAGAGTGGCGCTCACATTCTGCGGGGCACACGGGACTGGGGCGAGGACATGGAAAAAAACAAAATATGGGTTACAATGAATTGATATACATAGAAGGCATCAGCTAACTTTTTGTGAGGTTCAGCAGTTACCCAGACATGGAGGAACAGTTGAGAGAGAAGATTTTTTTTAGGGTTTCTAGCTTGTTTATTCATTAGCAGCATACTGATGGATGAATCACCTGTTTTGAGGGATTCACTGACACTCGCGACACTGGTGCAGTGCGCCCCCTGAGCCTGGACTGTTACATTGAAGTCCAAGTCACAGGGAATGTTTTGGAACACGCAGCTTGTATTTGCAGTCTGACAGCTATCCTGGTACCCTTCTCCTGCTAGCTGGCCGCTGAAGCTGAGGCTTCCTGCAGGGTCAGTCCAGGTGAACACGGCTGTGTTGGTGCCACAGTTGTACTGCTTAGATGTGACAGATGGAGGACAAGGGGCTGGAAAAAGAAAGCACAGGATACAGAGTGAAAAAAGTGTTGCTGTCAAGGGGGCTCCTTTCCTTTCACACCCATGCACTCACTCACCTGTAGTGATGTTGGTGCTGGGTCCAGGTGCACTGTCACACAGGCTTCCTTGTGCAACAATTGTGGCCGTGTAGGTTTCACTGCACAGGAGGTCCGTTAGGGTACAAGTAGCAGTGGCTGAGCTGCAAGAAACCTTGTGCCCACTTAGAGATGTCGCGTTGACCATGTAACCTATTGCATCAGCCATTGACCCCCATGATAGAGAGGAAGAATTGGTTCCACAGATCTGGGTGCTGTTCTGGACAGAGGGAGAGCAAGGAGCTGAGAGGGAAACAGAAAGAAAGAAGGGTCAGTTCTGTTTAAGGTTGATGTTTTAGTTGTTTCTAAAGACACAAATCTATTTTCTCTTGAGTTAAGCTTCATTCCTTCCAGCATCTTCTACCTGTCATTAGGACTGCTCCGGTACTTCCAGTGCTGTTACATGTGTCATCCTCTGCCACTACAGTCAGGTTGTAAGCTTTTCCACACTGAAGCTGGTTCAGCTGACAGGAAGTTGAGCTGCTCCTGCAGGAAATGTTATTCTGCGAGCTGCTGTCCTGAGCAACTACAGTGTAGGCTTTAGCGCCAGCAGCGGCAACCCAGGACACTGTGGCCATGTCGGAGCCACACCTGAGGTTGCTGGTCACATTGACGGGGTCGCATGGTCCTGGCGAAAGGAATTAGAAAAGAGTAATGTGTCAAATGATGTGTTCCAAGTCAAAACAAATCTTTTTGAGATAAATTAATTAACAAAGATGTTCAAAAGCCACCTGTCATAATAACAGTTCGACTGGGAGCGCTGGTGCATTGGCCGTCTTCAGATGTTACCGTGACATTGTACTGACTGGCACACTGCAGGCCAGAGACAGAGCATGTGAGGTTTGATGAGGAGCAGGTGTCAGAGAAGCCATCGGGGCCCGTCACTGTTGTTGTGTAGGTGGTGGCACCAAGAGATGAGTTCCAGGAGGCCGTTAAAGAGTGTGTGCCACAGTGTGCCACTGCTGTTATACCCTGTGGGGGGCAGGGTGCTGGAAGAGGGTATCACCAGTTCATGAAATACATGAAAACAGCAGAGTTATTGGATATTATTGTTGCTGTACCATCAATACCTGTTTGAACAGTTTGTGGGGTGCTCCATGGTCCGCTGCAGCTGCCGGAAGAGGCTTTGACTGAGACATTATACATCCATCCACACCGAAGACCAGTCAGACTACAGCTGCTGCTGTCAGAGTGGCAGGTCACCGAGCTGAGGTTTCCAGCCAGCGGCAAAGCATTCACACTGTAGTTGAGGGGCTCAGGAGAAATCTTCCAGCTCATCATTAGGTCATTGGTGCCACATAACAGGTTTGTGCTGATGTTTTGTGGCGTGCACGGTACTAACAGAACACAAACAAACAAAATCAGCCGGTCAGAAAAGTAGTTTAGGCTTCTTCACTTCCCTTAGTGGATCGTAAACAAAATGAATGGGAATGTTGGGTCTTAGTGGAGGTATGAGCTCCATTGAGTGCCACTCCAGTTACTCTGTTATTTTTATACACATGCTTAAAAATATATTTAAAAAGCAATTAAACACAATAAAAAGCTTATTGCATGACCACAAAATATGTCACATTATGTTATGATATCAGTTCTGCCACTATATCATCATGATATTGTTATATATTGTATTTTAAGGTTAAACGCCTAGAGATCAGCTATTTCCAATCAGGTCAATCTTTTATGCAGCAGCTGATCTGTGATCTATGTTTGTGATCAGCTCATAAACATAGATTATACATAATATTTAAAAAATTCTTTGAACCCTGTGAGTTTTGTTTTACTACAGATCAACAGCCTGTTCCAGAGGTGGAGTTTTATAGGTCTGATCAGATGGGACCTAACTTCTCTCTCTGTACCTGGGTCTTGTGTGAAGGGAGCGCTGTAGTTGCTGACGCAGGTGCCGTCAGTCGCTGTCACGTGAATGTCATACTCTTGACCACAGACCAGGTTGCTCAGCGTACAGTTGGGGCTGGAGCTGGTGCAGGTGAGGTTCTGTTCATCGCTGTAAGCTTTCACATTGTAGCTCACTGCATTCGTACTGGGGGCCCAGGACAATCGCGCCAGGCCAGCACTACAGACCAGCTGGCTGGACACATTAGAGGGAGGACATGGCTCTGGAGAGGAAATCACATAAATCACCAACCACTATCAATGTTAATGACACTGTAATGACCACTTAAAATCTTCTAATTGATCCGCCTATTCCTGAGATCAGTGCTGGGGGGTTTGTTACCTGTGATTACAGAGACAGTGTTGCTCTGTTGACCTGTACAGTTGTCATCAGCCCCCGAAACGCCAATAGTGTAATTCTCCCCACACTGGAGCGCAGGAAGGCTGCAGGAAGTGCTATTGGTCGAGCACTCTGACCTGTGACCCCCACTGCTCAGAGCAACAGCAGTGTAGTGGTTGGCACTGTCACTGGCCACCCATGACACAGGGACAGGATTGGGAGCACACGTAGGCATGGCTGTGACGTTGGTGGGAGGACATGGCACTGATCGGGAAACAAATATGCAGGAAAAGTTTGAGGTGGTGTTCAAGAAAATCACATAGCTGCAGGTAAAGGTTTGATATATGTATGTTTCTCACATGTTTGCACCAGGGCCTCTGTGCTCGGGAGACTGAAGCACGACCCAGTGACAGAGAAGACCATCACTCTATAGGAGCTTCCACACAGCAACCCTCCCGTGGTGCACTGTGTGTTTGTAGAGTTACAGTGCAGATAATGACCCATTCCTCTGGAGATGATGGTAGTGTAGTTCTCTGCAGGGGCAGATATGTTCCAGATGACTGTCAGCTCTCCAGTAATGCAGGCAACACTTGCCCTTACGTCCTCAGGGCCACAGGGCACTGAAAGAAGAGGAGAGAAATGTCAGACGTTCGTAACTCAAATTTTTGTTCGTTATTCTTCCAGAAAGACACAGTTCACCCATCTGAGTTTACTACCTGAGTCCATCCTGATAGTTGTGGAGGTGGATGGACAGTTTCCATCATTATAGGCCACAGATACATTGTACATCATCCCACAGGGCAGAGAGGTGATTTTACAGTTGTTGACTGTGTTGCTGGTGCAGGTGAGTTGAGCTCCACTTGGATCCACTATAGTCGCTGTGTAGAGGCCTGTGGACCGATGGTTCTGCCACACTATCAGAGCATGGTTGGCTTCACAGTCCCTGAATGCCTCGATGTTGGTTGGAGGACACGGTGCTGAGAAGAAGTGAGGATACAGTAAATCTTACTTTGCCACACTGTCATGTTTTTTAGGGAGATGAATGATAACATTTTGGTGGGGAGACGCTTTGTCTTTTCCCATTGACACAATCACATACGGCAACCTTCTGACCTACCTGTCATAAAGGCGACCTCCTCACTGGTTGTGCTGTTGCACTTGAGATTTGTGCCAATGACGCTGGCTGTGTAATTCTGTCCACATGTCAGGCCTTCGATCAAGCAGTTGGTTCCCATTGAATTGCAGCTTTGTTTATTTCCACTTGTATCTTGAGCAACGGCAATGTAGAATATGGCACCGTTTCTCGTCGTCCAGTTAAGTCTTGCAGAGTCTTGGCTGCAGTCGACTGATACCGAGATATTGATCGGGCTGCAGGGAACTGGAGAGAGAGGGGTTGCAGTATTACATACATTGAATACAGGGAGCACCATTGATATACTGTGTGTATTACCTTGTAGTAATTATATATAACACCACACCTCACAGAGCTCTCAGTACATACCAGTCTGAGCCGGTCCTCCCAGCACCTTGGTAGTGTTGCAGTTGTCATTTGAGGCGGTGATCCACACGCTGAGGTGTTCGCCGCATGGCACGCCGGTCACCGCACAGCTGTTGGAGGACGAGGTGCAGTTGTAGCTCTCTTCAGTGTTGCCCTGTGCCTCCACAGTGTAGGACAGAGCTCCAGCAGCAGAGTCCCAGGTCGTGATCAGCACATCAGGGTGACACTGGTCTGCTGTTTTCACATTTGTTGGTAGACAAGGAGCTGGAGGATGGAAAAAGTGAAAAATTAGGCACCGTGTGGTATGTTGAAGATTAGTCTAATAAATTCCATCATTATCATGACAACTTCAAGCTCAAGGATGAGGTGTGTAATTTTTCATAGTGTATATTTTTCTTTCTGTCGAACAAATATGACATCACATGATGATGAGTGTACATCCTATCTCTACTCTCATGTAATGCATAAGTACACTATATGATGTAATTTTCAAATTTTATAGTGATGTCACTATGATGTAATAACTACCATATGATCTTAAATCATTTTTTAGTGTATGTTTTCCTATAGGATGCAGCAATACCTTGAAAAATGCATGTTTAAACTATGCATTATATAATTTTCTAAGTTCATTGTGATTTCTTCATGATGTCATGTATCATATGATGTCATGTGATGGGGAATTTTTTTTATGATCGATAGAAACTTTAGATTGTCTTTTAACCCTATTATTCGTGGAGATATCTTGCAAAATGGTTGTTTTGGGACAATATTTTTGTTTCGCTTGACCATTGACCTCCAAGTTTTTCATCTGGAGATAAACGTAATATTCTGACCAAGTTTGGTGAGAATCTGTCTATGTTTTATGTGCGCACATGCACACACTTCATACCTAACCCTGACCTCAACCAGGATAAACACTAACCAAAAAAGTTAGTGTTTATGCAGGAAAAGGCCCATAAGAGGTAACAAAAACGAGTACACACACACACCCACACACTGAAACAACTGGAAACCGTTTTCAGTAAGCTGGACAAATTCATACACTCTTGTTTCTCTAGAAAATCTCTGATAGGATGGGTCATATGTGAGTGATACAAAATGAACAACAGTGCACAAGGTTTTGTGGCTTTAGACAAACAATGGAGTTCTACATCTCAGAGGAACATAATACTGTATATCAGGCTTTGACTGTCTTCACATGATACTTGGTCGTGAAATCAATTCCTCATACCTTTTTGTCTTCTCATAGAAAGAAAATTACACAATACAATATGATCAAAATGATCTTGTTACAATTTGAGAAAAAGAACAATTAACTAGTGTGTTTGTTGTGTGTAAACAAAACAAATCATGTCACTACTCACAGGTTTGGACAGACTTGGGCTGGCTGACTTCACTGTTGCAACCGGCGCTGACAGCATACACAGTGTACCTGTAGAACTGTCCACAGTTGACATTAGAGAAGTAACACACAGTGTCCACTGTCCTGCACACAGTCTCTTTGCCAGTGTCGTCCACCGCTGTGGCCACGTAGTAGTAGGTTTTGTTGGTGGGCGCCCAGGAAAAGAGGATCACGTTGCTGGAGCATTGGTGCTGAGTTTGGAGATCGATTGGGGCACAGGGGACTGAAGGTAACAGAGAGGAGACAGAGAATCAGACAGGAATCCACATCAAATGGGGAATTAAAGTGGTGGAGAGAAAATCAGAGTTTATAGTTTTTAGTCCACTACATTTTGACTATATAGTACGTTACATGTTCACATCGGTTTATATTTCTAACAGTTATCAAGAGGGGAATTGGTGGATTGATCCAATCAGAGAGATCAGGTAACATTAGACCCCACCTCCTGCAGCTGCTTCACTCACAGGTGAAGAAACATCAGAAATAGATTCAGAAGAGGCCGAGACTCACTTATAATGATGTAGTAGACAGGAAATAGGCTTCACTAAGCAAGTACTTACTTTTAATATTTAAAAGTTAATGGTACTTTTACTAAAGTACATTTCTGTTGACATATTTGTACTTTTTCTACTTCTTCCACCACTGTTGATTCAGTATAGATAAATACAGTCTCACCTCATGTTATTTGAAGGTCCACAAATATCACATAAGAAACCAGGGATCTGGATCCTTTACGTCTTTGTATGCAATTCGTCGGCATGAAACAAACATGTGTGCTAGCTGTGTGTGGATATTACATCATTTCCCCAGGCGGACTGTATGTGTGAGTCTCCTTCACCTTGTCCCTCTCCTCACTGATACTGTGGCTGACCTTTGGGATAAATCCCTGATTTCAGCAGACTGTATAGAGCTTTAGATTGACTGGTGTTAGGTGGCAGGTCTGAGAGGGTGTGTATCACCACTCAGCATGAAAATAGAGCATGGGACACCATGGGAGAAACCTAAACAGCTTCCCACAGGACAGACTTATAGGGAGGGTGAGTGAAAAAGATTACTGTATGTCCAGAGGTGTAACATGAGTGACAGTGTTGTGTGCATGTGTAAAACATATACAGACAAGCACAGACAAAGCATATGTTGAAAAGGGACTGACACAAAAACCATGTCATGTTTTTTAGTGCTCTGCATGCGCTCACCTGTCTCGAACATGGCAGAGGCCTCTGAGGTGTTGCTGCAGTCGTCAGAGATGGTTGTGACATGGACCTGGTACTTCTCGCCACAGTTGAGTTGTGTGATCTGACAGCTGGTGGAGCCTGATGTACAGTTTAGGGACTGGTCGCTGCTGTCAACAGCTGCGGCCCTGTACAGGTTGGCCCCAAACACCAAATCCCAAGTCACTGTCACCATGCCACTGGAGCAGTTGTAGTCCACGGAGATTGTCGTCACTGGGTTAATGGCTGAAGAAAAAGTGTTGGAAGAGATTAAACTGTTGTTCAAAATATTTTTTAAAGATTAAGCTTGATATGTTGTTCGGGCTACCAGAATTCCCGGCAGGCTCCTTTTAAAAGCTTGTGATTTCTTCATTCCTTGTGTCTTTCCCTAATTTTTATGAGCTCATTAATATTAAATTTTATCACTACCAGAGGATGATCAAGGGGTGGGGCCAAGGGGACACTGGCTCCAGCTAAAATCGGATTGGTCCCTGCAGCGACCCTGTCCTGTCTTTACTCATTTAATAAAAATAAACTAGCCATCAACAATACTAACAGGAAATATGACAATTTGTCAATATTTTATATTTTCTAAGCTTTTTGAAGTGGTACTTGATTTAGATTAACCCAAGCTCTGCCACTGTGCCTCCCTATGTAATACCAATACTTGATTTCCATGTTTCGTCACCTTCACTAAATGTTTTCTTTTCATCGACTGCATCAGTTGTTAATGTATTTATGAAAAGTTTTTAAAGACATTAAACAATAAGGGATTTAATTTAACAATACAACTCAACTCCAGCTGTATGAATGAATTCCTTTGTTAAAATACTCACAAGATGTGGTGTGGTTAACATTTCTGGGCTCCCCAGGCTCCAGGAAGACGTTAACTGACGATACTCCCACTGTATAGGTGGAGCAGGGCTCCAGGTTAGTAATGTCCATGGATGTGCCTGAAGTTTCTTTGATGACTGGCGTGTTGCTGGGGTTGTCGATGTCACTCACGGTCACATGATAAAGCAGGACTTTACTCACAGAGGCCCACGTCAGGTGAGCCGAGCTCTCTCCCGTTGATACGAGAGCAACACCAGTTGGTGGCTGCACCACTTCCAAGAGAAAATACAAGTATTACTCTCATGCCTTTAGAAATCACTCACTATGTTTTTCTATGACTTGTGGTGTAAAATGATTGGTTCACACATGACTTGCAGTTAAGTAGCTTTCTGACAGTCAATCTGAAATCCTTTTAGACAAACGTGATTTAGGCTCAACTACATCAGCATTTTGTGTGCTCTTACACGTCATGATTGACCTGATACTGCTTTGGGCACCACTTCCAGCAATGTTGGAGGAGTAAATGTAACAGTTGTAGGTTGTAGAAGGTAACAAGCCGTCCATTCGTCCTTTCAGGGTTGTGAAGGTCTGGTTGTGTTTGGTTGTGGGAACAACAAACAACTCCTCCACAAACAGGGTGTAGCTGTCCGCCCCCGTCACGTTGGACCACTCAAACTCTATAGACGTACTTGAAATAGCTTTGGAATAGGTGATCTGAGATGTGGCGGGCACTGTGGGAATGTAACATAAGGAATTTAGTGTGACTCAACAAAGGGATTCTTCTGATTTATTTAAATGCATCTTTATTTATTATGTGTCTTTACCTGTCATGCTTATTTCTACATCTTGACACACGACAGTCAAAAACTCAAGGACCTTCAGCGTAACTTGATAGACACGTCCAGGTCTTAACCCCTGAACCAGCCTCTCTGTGCTGGGTGCTGACTGCATCAGCCCCACAGTGGCGATATTAGTTGAGTTCACAACTCTCAAGTCCAGCATGTAAAATGAAGCTCCGGGGTAGTTGCTCCATATCACATTCAGTGTAGATGCTGACTGAGACGTCACTGACACAATATTACATCCTTAAAAAAAAGAGAGAGAAATGAATAGGTAATTTTATATATTGATAAACAGTAGAGCAGAGATTTTAATTAATTTCACATCTTAAAATACTCTGTACAAAAAGAATACCCTGCGGTGTGATAACATCAATGTTATCTATAACCAGAAAACCTCATAGAATATTATCCATTTAGGAATGTTGTTTTCACACATAAAAGATAATGTCAATATTAAGCAGTTTATGTATGAATTTTGCCTTTATAGGAATATTGTTTTACACTGATGTCTATTATTGGAGAGCTGGTGTGATTGAGACATGTCCATGTGTTCTTATCATTTACGACCATATATTTAAATTATTTAACTCTCCCAACTCTTCCAATGTCTGGATGGTTAACACGTTGAAGGTGAATAACTCATAATCACTCTTGTCCACATGCTAGTTCATTAGAAATACTGACCTATAGGAGAGTTTACTCTTAATTGGATGAATAATTGAACACAATCAGCTGCTTTTACTTTATCTACTTTACTTTCAGTATTTTCTTTGAACTAGCAGAACCATAAAGATATGAAAATTAATTGTGCTAATATTTGATTAAGCTTTTTGATATATACAGTATCACTGTAAAAATGATTACCCATCCCACTCCCCTGATAAGGGAGGGTGATCAGAGATAAACTGTATCAGTAAGAAGACTCACCTGTGGCGAAAACATGTTGTATCTAAAGAAAAAAAGATCAAGTGAATTAATAAAGAACTATTACAAAATAATTACATGATAAAGACACAACAAAAATAAGAACTGAATAAAATGTATAATTACCTGTATGACAGACAAAAGAATGACTGAATAAAACGTCCACATCTTATCCTTTGTTAGAGTGAAGGCTTCAGTAAGTTACATCCATACGTGGGTTTTGCACTCAGCAACTCATCTGAAATCTGGAAAGGCTGAGCGCTGTAGATCAACTTCATGGGAACCAATCAGGACGTCCTAAAAGAGGACAGGTAGATGCCTGTGGGCTCCCTGTCATCATGAGAAGGAAGTATGTGGCTGGTTAGGTGGAGGTGGGGGTCAATCCCCCACCCCATTATGCTCAAACTGCATGTCTTCCATGTCCCTGGAAGATTTAATTTCTTTTGCTCAAAACTTTGGAGTCTTTGTCTGAACTGGACCAACGTAGCTTTGAAGGTAAAAAAACAAACACGTAAACTATATCACTGATTTTCCCAGTTTTTCCTCCCTTGCATAAAAAAAGGATTGGCCTGCTGTGAGGTAACATAATCTCCTTTGTATGATACACTAGAAAGCAAATGACCCTAGTCCCTCCACTTCATCCTTCCTGGATTGATGTCATGTTGTTTTGGAAATGCTCATTAGTCATCATTCTGTAATGGCTGGCTTTTGGACTGTGTCGGTTGGCATAACATCAGTTTGAGACACAAAGCTAGGGATTTCAAATGTAGCCAAACAAACATGCAGCATAAATGTTAATTTAATGAATATTTACTCTTTACCAAGCAGGTCTACTGTGTATGGCACAAATTACTTTATTCAAATTGAATATATGTTTTCTTTTACAATCAGAGTAATTAACAGTAATACAAGCTACTGTAGGAAATTGGGCATAAAGTTTAATGAAATTAGTTGGAAAATACAAAACTTGTGTTATAGGTTTTTCATATAAATTGCAATCTGAATCTGTGCGAAAAAGTACAGCTATCAGCTATAGTGTAATATTTACTGAAAGGAATAGGGTCAACTATGTCATCTCAATTTACCTACAACTGAACTTAAATTCAAAATAGAAGGTAGTTCTATAGCTTGTCTTGAAGTTGTATTAAATATTTATTTTTGTAAGATTTCAAGACAAAAATTACGTTTTGGCTTCTTGCTCAAATTTTATTTATCCATACAGTATAATTTATTTTAATAAAGATTAATTTAATATGCTTTTTTGTAATCCAGGATATTAAAATAACAACTTGTAACCAGCTTAAGTGAATAGGGATTTCCTGTTCATAGGATGTGCTACTTCTTGTGTGTTGCAGTGTGTAACAAAAAGAGCTGTTGGTAATAGATCCACACCCCCGTCTCTGCTCTGAGCTCTCCCAGGTAGCCTATGTCTGACTTTAGCATTATTCATCCCATTGTGTCCAGTACCTTTTGTTTGTCTAATGCGGGAACCGAGCTTCCTTGAATACCGCACATTTTTGTGAATTGAGCCTGGTAATTGTCTTTTTTTTACCATCATTCTTGTCTGGGCCATTACAAACGTGATCAATTATACAGTACAAGAAATCTGTTTTTTTACAGCTACTGTGTAGATTGAAAACGAGTTGGTGATGTTCAGTTATATTTAATGTGTATTTATCAAACTGTGCAAATGAACTTCAGAGGTCAGATATAAAATGTTCTTAAGGTCAGTGAAAGTCAACTCATCATGTATTCCGCAGCCCCAAACACCAGAAGGAAATGTTTCTACCTCTTAAAAAGAGGAGAAATAAAAGAACGGCACACTATGGTCTAATGCAGAAACAATGTGTTTTATTGTCGTCTGTCAGCTCAGAGAAAACAAATTCAATGAAAGCAGAGATAACACTGAATCTTTCTTCAGCAATCTGATCAGACGCATCATCCACTTGGCATACATGACTCCAGGCCACAGAGATGGATACCTGCTGCCCTACTTTTACCTGTGACCCTTTTCTGGGTCACCAGCCTGTGTTACAGCCCAGATACGTCATACAGCCATACGGAGGTCTTCTACTTGGAGAAGTCCTAAAGTGTTATCTAAAATTTGTTTCATCTTCAAATGATAATTGCCATGATTTCATGCGGGGGTGCTCACTGACAAGTTTCCAATTTGGCTTCCTTTGCAATTAGTTAAAAGATAAAGTTTCATTAATAATAGGCAACTGTTAGAATTGCAGAGCAAAAATATACAATTTAAATTTTTTTTAATTCAGTGTTTCAGCTGTTGTTGGTCATATAGAAACTGTTTGTCGGACACTTTTTCTGACTAACAGTTACAACAAAAAGGGGAAATTCCTAAACAAGAGTGATATTTCATCTGGTTTTACGAGATTGTCACAGTTGCTGTTGGTTGCTGTGTCCATGCTGGTCTGTTGGTCGTGGTGGTGGGTGTTCACTGTAAAGCAAGAAAAACGAGTGTGAGAAAGAGAAATAATCAACATGGACTAAGTGTAAGACCTGGTTATTATCAGTATTTCATAAGACCTTCCATACTTATTCAGCACACTCAAGAAATGGCTGCTTTGTTAGACTGGCTAATAAATAACTATCATCTTACCACCACTCATCAATGTGTCATGTTCCCACAGCATATCTCCATCTTTATTTACCTGAGTCACGCTACCCTCCTCATTGTTTCCATGTTTTATAGACTAGACATGTATGTCAGTGTAAAAAGACACGTGTCGGACATGTGATGTCCCATAGGTTAAGGCAGATAGAGATCATACCTGTCTATCTGCTGTCTCATACATGACTATTGTTATACCAGTGCACTAAAGGTAGAGTCAATTTATGGATAATTGTGATGCCGTCACACTATACCCTTTAAAGCACAATGGACCCTGTGAAAGAAGCCTTCATCACTTTCCTTCACATATGTTCACAGTCAACATGTGATTTAAAGAAAAATGTGCTGATCGTAACATAACTCTGAGTTAGTAACAATGAAACTTACGACATTTAATCCAAGCTTCTTCTTCCAAGAGAGATCACTTAAGAAAGAAAGAAAGAAATGAGTGCAGCAACAGTTTTCATACTGCTCATAATATAATTACACTTTAATTAGCATCAGGAAAATGTGCTTATTTGTTTTTTTGTTGAGTGCTACAGAAGATTGAACTTTCAGGAGATGGAGAAACAGCCTGGCTCTGTCCAAGAAAGTGAACAAGTGTAATAACCAAAAGACTGTTCCTTTAACTATAGCTAACGAGAGTGAAGTGTCGGGGATACTCAGCCATACCAGCATTACTTCCTGGGCAGGGAACTGAAAAAGTGACAAAAATTGAACAGAAATCAAATACAAATTATAAGAACAAATTCAGACTTGTGATATTAATCATGTCGAAGTCTACGTTATGACCTACCTGAGTATTTCCTGGGCTGACAGAAGTGGACTTTGATCCTGTTCTGGGTCACTGGTGCCACCACTACTGTATAGACGTCCCCACACGAATCCTCCTGGATGTCACAATGTGTATTACCAGCAGCTGCCATGCAGGTGTAGTTTGCTCCTGTCCCGTACAACTCTACAGTGTGGTTATGGATCTGAGGGCCCAAAGAGCGCCAGTAGACCCTGAGAGAGTTGTTGGCCGTGCGATAGAGCTTGATGCCCGTTGGACAGCAGGGACCTACAAAAAAGTGAAAGGGGTTAAAAGAGATCGAAAAATCATATGGGAGTTCCGGTAATGTCACTGGAAATTTTTTTAAAACTCCTTAAAACCCACCTGTTAACAAAGGCTTATAACCACTTATTTCCAGCAAGCATTGTGATTATTATTACTGTGATGATTACTATTGTTTATTTAATTAAATTTAATTTTGTCTTATTAATTAATTATGAATTGTTATTCACTATTAATAAATCCAACGTGTAAACGCATGTACTTATCCTCACTAGAAGAGAATCCACGATACTGGCACTCTGACTTGTGTCCTGTGCTGCTGATGGCTTCCAGGTGGATGCTGTAGTTGGTGCTACAGGTGATGCATCCCATCAGACAGTGGGTGTCCATGGTGTGGCATTTAGCGTGTCCTTTTGAGGACGTCAGTGAGGTGATATAGGAGCGAGCTCCATTGCCAGCTGACCACGTCACGTTGGTCATAGCCTGTGTGACCTGGGTCACATTCACAAACGCTGGACAGCACGGACCTTGGGGAGAGGAATATAGAATACTGTTGTGCATGTGAGTAAATAGATGTTTGGGATCACCATTTATCTGTGCTTAACTTTAATATTGGAAAAGATTAAACAGGTTCAACTGATTGAGTCATGACAGCTTGGATAGTAAGAGGGACTAAAATAACATCTAATTCCGTCAAATAATTCCCCACATGGCTCTCTCAGACAAACTATTTACTGTAAATAGAATAGATTTTACTTAGGGCTAATCCTGGTGATAACCAATCATACTGTCATACCTGTCTCCAAAGATTTACTGTATCCGGGTAAACTCCGTCCTACAGCTGTGGTGGCCACTGCTGTGACTATATAGATGGAACCGCAGGGCAGCTGTGTGAGCTCACAGGAGCTGTTTCTTGTGTGGCAAGTGTGTGTGTCATAGCGACCAGTGGCAGTGATTGTGTAGTTTGTGTTGGGTGTGTTGGGTGTGGTGATGTGGACCCTGTACGTGGCGTTGTTTGTCTGTGTCATATTCAGGATCTCTGGAGAGCATGGAGCTGTGAAATCATAGACAGAGAGTAAGGGAGGTCATAAATAATTCTCTCAATAATTATTTTACCTCTTCAATATTGTAGGTTGATCTGCCTATTAGAAATAATTTTTATAGTAATTTAATTTAACTCGTCCATACCCGTCTCGTGTGTGTGTGGCGTGCAGGTGCGGTTGCATCCTCGAGACTCGCTGCAAGGCGTGACTGTCACAGAGTAAGCCGTGTTGCACCTCAGGTCTGAGAGGGCACACACCGGTGATGTGTCGTTACAGTGCACAACGTCGTTGGTCTGTTCTGCTGTTGTCTCGTACAGCTCGGCCCCTATGACCGGTGACCACATGACCTCCAGGGTTTCCGTGGAAACCAGGTTGACGGTAACGTTCTGTGGACAACAAGGAACTGGGGAGATGGGGTGGGAAGAGAAATACAAAAAATATGGGAGAATGATAATCACACCAGGCAAATATATCTATATATTTTTTCTTGTATCTTCCACGCCTCCATTGTTTTCACTTCATGTCGACATGGTTTGATGTGTGATCACCTTGCAGAAAGGTGAGCTTTTGGAACGGCAATGATTTCAGAAAAACAAACCCGGAGGAAAACAAACAGGATGACTTGGATTTGGGGCTTTTTCTTTTGTTACAAAATGGTGTTCCGCTACTACAAGTGTTATTTGTGATGATGATAAACATGACCACCACATAAATAGTCCCCAAAACTAAGACACAAAATGTTAATGACCTGATAATACAAAACCAGTTGCAATGAACTTTGACTTGAAAACAAACACATGTGTTGGTGGTGATAATGCATGTGGGTGCTTCTGTGTGGTGGTCCTACTGGTGGTGTAGTTGTGGACATGTGAGGAAGGGCTGGGGCCGGCTTGGTTGTAGGGGAAGACGGTGGTGAGGTAGGTGTGGCCACACATGCAGAAAAATTGGCAGGTGGTGTCAGTAGTGTTGCACGAATTCTCTGTCCCGTCATCCCTCTTTATGAAAGCTATGTAGTACTCCACCAGCTGCACCTCATCCCACACCAGCGAGCAGTTGCCTGCCTCAGGCTCCTCCACCCAGATGTTCTCTGGAGGACATGGGTCTGGCAGAGAAAGAGGGATGGAGGTTCAGGGAAGAAAAGAAAAGACATTGCTTGTTAAAAGGTTATTCACTCTCTAAGATTTAAAAAGTACCAGTTGCATGTTGTGTGGCAAGCATACAACTAAAAGGAGATGGTTATCTTAGTACAAAGACTAAAATAAGGGGGATAAACTAGCTTGCCTCTGTCCAAAGGTTACAAAATACAAACTTATGGTCTTTGGACTGTCAAAGAACCCTGGACAAATGACATGCAGACATGGGGGGAACATGCAAACTCCACACAGAAAGGCCGAGGCCGACCTTGGATCCGAACCAAGTACCTTTTTGCTTTACTATGCAAACCACTGCATCACCACTCCACCCAACATTAAAATGCTCACATAATCATTTAAAAAACATGTGTAGGTAGTATGCGTTACGCCTCTGTCGCTGTGTGTGTTTTACCCACATGTTATATATCCAGCTGGGTTTGAGGGGCTGCTGGGTCCGGCCCTGTTGTAGGCTGCTACAGTAACAGTGTGGTTCTGGCCACATTCCACATTTACAATGTAACAGTAACTGTTAGCTGTTGAGGTACAGTTTTGTCCATCAGAGGTCATGGCTATGTAGGTCTCTGCTCCCTGCACTGGCACCCAGTACACAGTGAGCCCAAGGGACCGACCTTGAGTCAACTGGACAAAGGCCACATCTGGGCTTGGTGGACCTAAAGATGAAAAGCACATAAGAAATTATATTACCACAAACATACCTATTGGGTTTGAGTGTAGGTTTTTTAGTGTAACTTATCTCTTATCATGCTTACGTGTGATCTGGCAGACAGTGAGGTCGTCTCCAGTTCGACCATCAGTGTCCCAGGCCGTGCCCTTGATGCAGTACATAGTCCCTGCTTCCAGACCATCAAAGGTCACCATGGTGTCAGTGGAGTTGACCTTGATGCGGGTGTTGGAGCCCTCTCGGATAATGCAGAGTGTGTAGAGGACAGCATGCTCAACAGCGGGCCAGTTCACAAGGATGGTGTTGTTGCTCGGGGACGTGGTGTTCAACTGTGGTGCAATCACCACTACAGGCAAAAACAAACAAGGACACACATTTCTTACTTTGTGCTCTGTCTCCAATTTTTTTGTAAGAGGTGTAAAATGTAAAAAAAAATGTCCCTGTGATTATGTTACATTCATTTCTTCTTCAGGACTGGAGACAACCTAGTTCTCATGGTTTCTCTTTTCATATCATGAGAACATTATGGTGCAGAGGTGTGGATACAGTTTCCACCCTCCTGAGTGTGCTGCAAAGAGCAGAGGCTGTGTGACAATGGGCATGAAATGACATGCCGTTATGGCCGGCGGAGAGAGATAACAATCTATTGTCCAGCAGGAACAACAGAAAGGCTGCGTTTCACTCTCCACACACTGATCACCATCCTGACTTAACTGCTTCTAATGTGTTGTTTCTGGACAAGTGGAAGTGGACAGAGAGCATTATTAACACATTATCTTTGATCAGCTTTTCCAACCACAAGTTTTAATGATTTACCCGCAGTATAAATCCTGATATCTAGGAGTCTAGAGTTTTTAGACTTTTTGTCCGTACCTGTCTTGGCCTCGACGGGATGTGAGGGCTGGCTCCTCCCTCCCGAGTTGACGGACATGACGCTCATCATGTAGTTAGTGAGGGGCTGGAGAAGCACCACGGTGCCTGGGGTGCTGTTTACCTCGGTCTCATAGAAGAAATCACCTGACTCTGCCCTCAAGATGTAGCTGGTTGCCCCGGAGACCTCTGTGAACTCGACAGTGATGCTGTCGCTGTGTTTGGAGTAGGCCTGTATGATGGTGGGCACCTCAGGAGCTGGAGGGGAAAAAACAAAAGCAACGAATATTACAGTTATTGGTAAAGTTGGGTCAGAATACTTTGAGGATTGTCTATTTTTCCTATATATAGTGATATATGATAAATGCTGAGGTAGCATGTAACTAAGCACATTTATGGTACTTAGTTTAAAGTATGTAGTCTGTAGAGCTACATAATGCTTGGCATGTTATTGAAAATGTATTAATAATTGATAATCTTAAGATTTTATGATTGCGTTACAAATAAGCAATTGAAATTACCTAATATTTTATGTAAATACAGTGATAAAGACATAGACCATTCTTACTCTTTTAACGTACATTTAGGTAATAATACTATGGTTGGTTTGCTTCAGTAATACTTTTCTCATTGTAGCATTGTTACTTTAGTTGTGTAGAGGATTTGAATACTTTTTCCACTGCTATATAAAGCAGTAAGTACTCCCATTTCTGTTTGGATGTATAATAAAGTATCTGAATCTAAGTCACCTCCTTGTTATAGTTACTGACCTGTTGTCTCCTCAGTCAACGCGCTGCTGAGGACATTGAGAGCATTGTCCATGGCCTCTATCCGCACAGTGTACACTGTGTTTGGGGACAGGGAGTTGAATGAGCCCATCACAGAGTAACCGCTGAACTGAGCGAAGACGGGGTATTTCGAGGAGTTCTTGGGGGTCGCCGTGATCTTGTAGGAGCTGGCACCAGGCGGGCCCCTCCATTGCACTGTCATGCTCTTAGATGTGACCGTAAACACTGAAAATGTCATGTCTAAAGGGGATAAGAGAAGAGAAAACTTTTGGGACACATTCAAAAATACTTTGGGGGGGATTTTTTAATGGTAGTTTGTATTTGAAAAACTAAGGGATACATTATTCAACCTTGGGATTGTCACAAAGTATCTCAAGGCAACTGTAAAAGAAGATGATTTACCATTTTCAGCTGCACAAATCTGAAAATGACAAAACATTCAAATTAATGCATGAAAAGAAAAAAATCACCTGATGAGTAATGGCAGGAAACAGAAACATTTCAAGACAAAGGCATCATTCCAGGGGTAGCAGCAGGCTATTGGTATTTCACATTACATCCTAATTATGACCTGGATCATGTTCTTGCTGCATGAGAGGCAGCAGGCTGCACATTACTTTCACTCAACACAGATTTCAGGGCGGTCGGTGCAGGTATTTCTTTCAGGTCGGGATGAATTTGTCTATTGAGCTACAGTTGGGTTCGCCACACGCACTTGTTGACAGCAGTGACACTCAAAAGAACCAGTGTTCATGTGTTCGAAAAGTCCTGCAGCTATTCACTACTCTTTATTTGGTTATAAACAAAGTGCACAATAATAAAAACAGGAATATCTGGTCTGGACTGATGATGTTGAAGTTGCTTTCTGAAGTAATTTGTTGCTTCATAGAAAATAAATTGCCTCTTACCTCTGTAATGGTCAGTAAAAGTAAAAGTTTCAGCATCTTTAACTGAGTTGCTCCCATGCCTTCAGCCGTTCTCTCTGTGGTGCTACTGCCTGGAGGCAAGAGGTGTTTCAAAATGACTTCAGGGAAGCAGCTCGAGCTGGATATTATAATTGGATTTTTTCCCCTCTCTCTCTCTGTCTCTCTCTCTCTCACTCCCTTGCTCAGATGAAACGACAGGTCCTTTATTGTTTCAGCAAATACCAAAGAGCCCAAAGGCCGTAACTCCTCCCCTCAGGGGTGTATGAGTGGCTTATGAGAGGAGGAAGCTCACCTGAATAGATGAGGATACATATTGAAAACTTACTTTTTAATTTCTTTTTTTTTGCAACCATGACCTTTGATATATAGAGAGTGGTGAAAATAGTGTATATTTTCTTAAATCTTTGGATTTTAACATCCCATTAAACATCTATGCCATCTCACACCGAAATAACACGATACAAGTGGTGACCTATTTCTGTTGCTGACATTCATAGCGTTTAAAGTTTCATCAAAACAATATTTGATCTCTCCTGGTTTTTGTGTCCATGATATCGTGTTATAGGCGAAACCACTTTTGCCCCCAATTTTTTATTACCTGATGAAACACATACCAGAAACACTTATAAGGTAATGTGAAATATAAATATAGATGTTCTTTCGGGTCTCATTAAAGTAAAGCATTTTCAGTTGATCCTAGGATGCAAACAAAACCCCAGTGATGGACAGTAACTAAGTACATTTAGTCAAGTACTTTTGTAACTTTATTGTCATTTATCCAACTGTCTTATTCTAATTAATAGTATACATTTTCACATTACATTTGTCTGACAGCTTTAGTCACTTTTCAGATGTCAGAGTAAATCATGCATATCCTCATTTGTTGATGCTGAATGACTGAAATAGGTGAGGTTGTAGAATTTGTACTTTTATTTAAATAAAGAATGTGAATACTTCTTCCATCATCTGCAAAACCCTATTAGCTCTGAAATATAAAACCACAAGACTGAAAGAAGAGAAAGAGAAACATGCTGCCTTATGTATCCTCAAAAACTAGGTAAGTTCATGTTTATGCCCATGGGAAATATACTCTATAGAAGTACAGAATGTACAAAGACAAATTCTAAGCCGACCCTTTGAAAGGTATAAGGTTTGAATAGAAGTCTCTCTATTCCCCAGTGGCCTGATGTGTGCGTCAGGTGTATTATGAACATGGGCCGGGAGGATCCCTGAGGACCAGGTACGGACTAGCGCTTTTGTGAATAAAGGCCAAAAGAAGAAATCCGATCAAATTTGACTTCACACGCATGAAATAATCGGCACATTTATAGAATTCACGGAACAAAAGGCTACAGGGTCAGATTTCCCAAATTACCTGTTCTAATGTTTAAATTTGTATACAGAGCGAAAATGGTAAAACTCACCACTATGTGTTCTTATGCAACTAAAACAACATTGATGACATTACATATAATATACAATAAAATGCTTTTATTTTATTGATTGATTTAAAAAAAGAAAAGAGGTTAATCAACTGTCTCTTATCTATTTCTCTACTGAGGTCACTGAACACTACCACATCACAAGCTTCTGGTTATCACACTTCTAAACTCCTAAATTCATGAACGACTGAGATTCCCTTGAGCAAGGCACATGCACCCTGGATGACCTTAAGGGAGCTGCTCAGTGGCCAGCAGATCACCACTGTGGTGAATGTGAGCAGGGCCTCTCTGCTCGCTCTGATACAATCCTGATTGAATAACGGAAAATGTACACAACAAACTTTCCTCCATGAAAAAACATATACAATATGTAAAATCGTATGAAAGATACATTTGAAAACAGCTTTATGAAATTATATTTAATTAGAATATTTTCCCTTTGTCTTTGTTCAAGTGAGAACCTCTCAATTCACAATCACAAACAGGATCCACCCTCCAGCTCTGACAGGTAGATATCAGTGACACTTTGTGTTTTTGTGTTTTGCTGTTAAGTATCAGACTCAATCTCAGGTTTGTCTCAGAGGGATAAACCACAGCATACAACACTCTGTGCTTTGACCATTCCCTCTGATCGGGCACAGACAGCAACATATCCACTCTGTATATTGAAATCATCCACAGAGAAGTAGAAACAGTAGAATCACAATATGGAAAACCAGAAATAATGTAGACTGGTGCTGAATTGTATAAATGCTCTTTATTATGAAGAAATGTTAGTCTACTGAAAAAAAGTAAAATATGAACTCTTTGGGATTTTTAAATTAAATTTAAATGTAACTGTCCGCTTGTGTTGTGTGTCTCTCCGTGTTTCTACCTGTGGAATCCTGGCAGATGCTCCTCCTCCTTCCGGGCTGGCAGTGGAGACAAAGGTCCGGATTGGAGCGGCATCAACCCCAAGCGTCCAATCAATGACGAAGCACTTAAGGCTGGCAGTATAAATTCTGTCCAGCTGGTTAGTCAGGGCTGCTCCCTTTGTGTGTGAACAGCTCTCTGTGTTATGTCTGTGTTTACATTACTCCTGCTGTTGTTTTAAGAGATTTTCATACTGATCCAGAATTGTATATTTGAGAACTGTATGTTAGAAACATACAAGTGGGGTGCTATTTTCATTTGTCTTGTATAGTGAGGATTTTTTTCATTTTGGTTTGCTATAAGGTTGTTTGTGCAGCTCTTTTTAAGATACTGTTTTGTTATATTTGTTTCTTTGGTTTGAAATAACACCCACTGGCCTGTTTCCTGCTAGTTCACTACCACATGCGCACCACCCGATGGACCATTAAGGCTTCACTTCACTGAATTAATTGAAAGTCATGTGAGAACTGAAATGAGATACAGATAACAGTGAACATGTTTTTGGTGTCCAGTACAGCTACACAACAATGACTGATAACAGACACTGTCATTGATATCCTGATTGGTGCTGCTGGAGATTTGAGCTTTTTACTGCTCGTGGTTTTTCAACAACAGTGAATCTTTGAGATTAATCCATCAGTAAAGCTTGTTCCACGACATTGTCAAGTAAAAGTGCTTCATCACACATTCAACATCATTCACTGAAATACTAACTTCCACTCAGTGACCCTGTGCTTTCTCCTATAGTTGACAAGTGGGATGATCTGGGGCCTCATTTATAAAACAGTGGGTAGAATTCATACTAAATGTGTCCAGTGCACAAAAGACGAAAATGGCGTACGCACACACACCTGAACGCGATGTTCACTTTCTAAATCACAGTCCACCTGGAAACATTCCTATGTGGATCTGCCTCCAGGCCCGCCCTCTACACGCCCACATTCAACCATAAATGGTCAATGCAAAGCAAGTAATGAACATTAAATTCTCCTACTGACCAATGGGTTTCCACATTGAATCATGGCATCAAGGAGGAAGCAAAACTTAGACTAAGATATTATTAAAAACTATTAATGACTCTGCTGTTTAATGGTATCTGAAGATAATGGGTTGTATCTTTTTAAATTGAAGGCTCTTATGGAACAGATATGTCACACGAGCACAAATTAAGCTGTTGGTTTTAATGTTAATGATGAAGTGATTAACATTGAAACATCAATAATCTGAACATGTTTGTACGCATGGGTCAGAGTTAGCATGGAAGTGTGCACTTTCAATTTTGTTTTTATAAATCCCAACATTCATGTGAAAAGTGGCTTACGCAAGTTTCAGGCCCCGGCAACAGTTATAATTGAGGCCCCTGATCTGTAGGAGTGACTCAACATTAGAGTTGAACAGGTAAACAGCTGGTTGAGGAGTCACCATGACTAATGAGTCATGTTGGTGATCCACAGGTTAGAAAACACTGAGAAGAAGGCTCCCTGCTCTCTGAACAATTGGACTGGACGGTGCAGGAATGTTGTTTGGACGCATCTCCTCTCCTGATACCCCCTCTTTAGAACAACAGAGAAACCCAATACCCCACAACAAAAACCTAAGCACAGCCCCGGCAGCAGCAGAGCCGCAATGGCGACAGGAGCAGGGCCACAAAGCCACGGTACAGAAACTCAGTAAGAAGACACTGTGGTGTGAGCCCCCACAGGCCAGCAGGGACGAACATTACAGGCATCAAGTGAGCACATTAGCTTCAAGGACTAAAGTTGATACTCATTTGAAATAAAGGCAGACAGGGTTTTTCCTGAAACACAGTAATACCAATCTGACCCAGGTTTGATTTGATTTAACTTTTTCTCTTTGCCCTGTGGCTGCTTGTGTGTATTGGATTGCTAAATCTTTGGAGGAAGAAGAAAACAAGAGGCAGGTGAGACAGGTGTACTGGCTTGAAGCACTGGATACAGATAGAACTCATGATTATTACTTTATCTCCCTAGGGACATCTTGACCCATAAAGATCACAAATGTGACCATTTGCTTCTTTTTGCGTTATTAGTCATGGTAAATTTTTTACCTCCTTCCAAGTTTGGTGGAGGGATGTTTACAGACAAACCAATACAAACCGATATAACATTAACATTTTATTTTTACAGTGCCTATTATGAATTTACACTCATGTACAAAACAATCAACTTAACACAAACAGCATCTTAAATAATCAAAATCAGAGATTTTTCTTTATCATTTAATACAAAATATATTCAACGACACAATCAGCATAATTTATCATAGATGTTGGCGGATCACTGGATAAACTGGTGCGTTATAATGCATGGTGTTTCCTGCCCCCTAGTGGCTTTGTGTTGTGCAGTTTCTTGTAGAGTTGAGCTTTGCCCAGGTCAGCTGACAGTCTCTTTGCCATCCGGTCCGTGGTCCTTTTCATTCTGAGGGCCACTTCAATAGCCTGGTCCAGAGTCCTGTTCATTTCCTCCTCCTGGAAAACAACAGCAAACTTTATATCTATGCTACGTAACATGCAGATTTGACAGCAGCTAATAACTGCTCTTATTATCATGCACATGTTCCTGTACATAAAAATGACTGGATGAATGTCCCTCTATACATGCATGTGATGAAAGATGAGACATCTCACCTTGCTCCCTCTGCGTGTGCCTGTCCCGCTGACAGTCT